CGGCTGGAGCTCAACTCTGGACGCCGCTACGGCCTCATCGGCCTCAACGGCACCGGTAGGCCAGGAGGAGGGAGGGAGGGAGGGGGCGGTCTGCTGCTGCTGTTGCATCATCGGGTGGCACTTCCCTCCCTTCTCACTCTCTCCCTCTCCCTCCGTCTTCCCATCTCTCTCTCGCTCCCTCTATCTATCCCTTCTCTCTCCCTCTCTCTTTCTCTGTCTTCTCCCTCCCTCATTCTCTCTCTCTCCCCTTCTGTCTCCTTCCTCCTCTCTCTTTCTCCCTTCTCTTTCTTCCTCTCTCTTTCTCTCCCTTCTCTCTCTGTCTTCTTCTCCCTCCCTTTCTCTCTCCCTTCTCTCTGTCTCCTCCCTCTCCCTTCTCTCTCTCTCCTCTTTCTGCCTCTCTCTTTCTCTCCCTTCTCTTCTCCCTCCCTCTTCCCATCTCTCCCTCCCTTTCTCTCTCTCCCTTCTCTCTGTCTCCTTCTCCCTCTCTCTCTCCCTTCCCTTTGTCTCCTCCCTCCCTCTCTCCCTTTTCTCTTTCTCCCTCCTTCCCTCTTCCTGTCTCTCCCTCCCTCCCTCTTTCTCTCTCCCCCTTCTCTCTGTCTCCGTCTCTCCCTCCCTCTCTTTATCACCCTGTTTCTCCTTCTCACTCTCTTCCTCCCTTTTTCTCCCTCTCTATATCTCCCTCCCCTCTCTCGCCCTCCCTCTCTCCCTTTTTCTCCCTCCCTTTCTCCCTTTCTCCCTCCCCTCTTTCCCTCTCCTCCCATCGCCCTCTCTCACCCTCCCTCTCTTCCTCTCTCCATCCCTCTCTGCCTCTTTCTCCCTCCTTCCCTCCCTTTCTGTCTCCCTCCCTCCCACTCTTTCTCTCTCTCCCTTCTCTCCCTCTTTTATCTCTTTCTCCCTCCCCCTGCCTCTCTCCCTTCTCTCCTCTCTCCCTCCCTCCCTCTTTTCCCCCCTCCCTCCCTCTTTCTCCCTCCCTTCTTTCCCTCCCTCTTTCTCTCTCCCTCCTTCCCCCTTTCTCCTCCCCTCTCCCTTCTCTTTCTCTCCCTCCCCATCCCTCCCTCTCACACTCCCGCTTCCTCTCCCTCCCTCCCCCTCTTCCCCTCTCTCTCCCTCCCTCTGTCTCTCTTGACCTTCCTCGTCCTCCCTCTCTCCCTTCTTTCTCTCTCACTCCCCCTCCCTCCCTCACACTCTTCCCCCCTTCCCTCTCCCCCCCCCGTGCCCATCCATCTCCCTCACAGGGAAGTCCATGCTGCTGTCAGCCATCGGGAAGCGGGAGGTGCCCATCCCGGAGCACATTGACATCCACCACCTGACCCGGGAGATGTCGCCCAGCGAGAAGACGCCGCTGCAGTGCGTGATGGAGGTGGACACGGAGCGGGCCATGCTGGAGCGGGAGGCTGAGCGCCTGGCCCACGAGGACGGTGAGGCCTGCGGGGACGGCCTCTGTGGCGGGGGGCGGGGGGCCCTCCCGGGCCTCTCGGGCTCAATCTGGCTCCTCTCCCTCTCCCTGCAGCCGAATGCGAGAAGCTGCTGGAGCTGTACGAGCGGCTGGAGGAGTTGGACGCGGACAAGGCGGAGGCGCGCGCCTCCCGGATCCTCCACGGCCTGGGCTTCACGCCCCTCATGCAGAGGAAGAGCTTGAAGGACTTCAGCGGCGGCTGGCGGATGCGGGTGGCGCTCGCCAGGTGGGTGTGCTGCCAGCCTGGCCCTTCTGGGACCCCCCCCCAATCTGGACCGACCTTTGGGGGTCCCCCTGGCGGAGCGGAGGCCATTTTCCTGAGGGTTTCCTCTCTCCGCAGGGCGCTCTTCATCCGGCCCTTCATGCTGCTCCTGGACGAGCCCACCAACCACCTCGACCTGGACGCCTGCGTGTGGCTGGAGGAGGAGCTGAAAACGTGAGACGGGCATCCCGGCGCTTGGGGCGGGGGGCTGCCTTCCCGGGGGCGGGGATGTTCTTCCGCCTGGGGGGGGGTAACCTCTGGGCTTCCTCTTTCAGGTTCAAGCGCATCCTTGTGTTGATCTCGCATTCCCAGGACTTCCTGAACGGCGTCTGCACCAACATCATCCACCTGCACAACCGCAAACTCAAGTACTACACGGTAAGTCGGAGGCCGGACTCGGCCCAGTCGGCGGCTCCCGGTTCTGGACGAGCAGAGCTCTTCCCAAAGGTCCGGGGGGGGGGGTGTTTCTGTTTTCGGCGCTCGCAGAACCCATTGGTTGCGGGGTGATGGGGGAATCTGCAAACGCCTCTCTCTCCCCGCAGGGCAACTACGACCAATACGTGAAGACCCGCGTGGAGCTGGAGGAGAACCAGATGAAGCGCTTCCACTGGGAGCAGGACCAGATCGCCCACATGAAGGTACGACCGGTCGGCCTCTCCCGAACTCGCGGCCCTTTGAGTCGGGCTAAGCTCCGGCCGGGTGTCCCCCCCCCCGGTGGGTTCTTTCCGCCCCCCGAAGGAAACTCTTGCGCCGTTGCAGAACTACATCGCCCGCTTCGGTCACGGGAGCGCCAAGCTGGCCCGCCAGGCCCAAAGCAAAGAGAAGACCCTCCAGAAAATGATGGCCTCGGGGCTGACCGAACGAGTCATCAACGATAAGGTGGGTGGCGAGCGGGATTGCCCCGCCTCTCATCCGCCCCCCGGTGCACCTCGGACAGAGTTGTGAGTTGTGCTCCTCCCGTGTGTGTCCCTAGACCAGACGTGTCAAAACTCGCGACGTCATCTGATGTCGCGCAACGTATCGGAGCTTTTTCGCCATTGCCGGCAATGGGGTGGGCGCGGCTCCAGTATGGTGAAACTGGCCCGTGGGCCAGCAGTTGGACACCCCTGCCCTAGACGCTGCTCTCCTTATTTTTTATAAGGTTTTTTTAATTCATTTTTCTATACATGCTATAATAATATTTCAACCAACGTGCTGAGTTTACATGCTAATACATATTATTATGATTATTATGATTATTATTAAAGTAATAATAATAATAAAGTAATAATAATTGTAATAAAGTTGGAAGGCACCTTGGAGGTCATCTAGTCCAACCCCCTGCTCAGGCAGGAAATCCTATATGCCATTTCAGATAAATGGCTGTCCAGTCTCTTCATAATAATAATAATATAATAATAATAATTGTAATAAAGTTGGAAGGCACCTTGGAGGTCATCTAGTCCAACCCCCTGCTCAGGCAGGAAATTCTATATGCCATTTCAGACAAATGGCTGTCCAGTCTCTTAATAATAGTAGTAGTAATAATAATATAATAATAATAATAATAATAATGTTGGAAGGGACCTTGGAGGTCATCTAGTCCAACTCCCTGCTCAGGCAGGAAATCCTATATGCCATTTCAGACAAATGGCTGTCCAGTCTCTTAATAATAGTAGTAGTAGTAGTAATAATAATAATAATAATAATAATAATAATAATAATAATAATAATGTTGGAAGGGACCTTGGAGGTCATCTAGTCCAACCCCCTGCTCAGGCAGGAAATCCTATATGCCATTTCAGACAAATGGCTGTCCAGTCTCTTAATAATAATAATAGTAGTAGTAATAATAATAATAATAATAATAATAATAATAATAATGGAAGGGACCTTGGAGGTCATCTAGTCCAACCCCCTGCTCAGGCAGGAAACCCTATATGCCATTTCAGACAAATGGCTGTCCAGTCTCTTCATAATAACAACAACAATAATAAAATAAAAGATGGAAGGGACCTTGGAGGTATCTAGTCCAACCTCCTGCTCAGGCAGGAAACCCTAGACCATTTCGGACTAATCCTTCTTTCTTCCAGCCATCGATAAAATCAGTCCCAAATGTGATAATAGTCCGTTTCTTCTTTTTCTTTCAGTCTCAGAGTCAATCTGTCCATCTCTGCACATTCTAGTATTTTTTTTAACTATTTCCCCATCCGACGGCAGTCCTTCGTTGCTCCAGTGTTGCACCAATATAATTCTTGCCGCTGTCGTGACGCGCAAGATCAAATATAAGCTTTGCTTTGTTAGTCTTTTCTGGCATTATACCCAACAAAAAAAAAGTTCAGATTTCAAATCAACTTTGTTCTCCTAACTTCTGTTCTAGCCAAGATGTATCTTTTCCCAATAATTCTTTGCTTTGTCGCGCGTCCACCAAACACGATAATACGTGCCCGGCTTATGTTTGCATTTCCAACATCTATCTTGACATGTTTTTAAACATCTTCGCTAATCTGGCTGGTGGCCAGGGCCATCGAGAAAACCTTTCGTATCAGTTTTGGTTAGGACAGTGGTTCTCAACCTTTTTAATGCCGCGACCCCCAACCGGTCGTACGTCGAGGACTACTCAACTGGTCGTAAGTCGAGGACTACTCAACTGGTTGTCAGCACCGTTTTGCAGAAGGGACTTTTGGCAGGCTCAGAGGGCAGGAGAACAGCCTGGACAATTCCATGGTTTTGAAAGCCAATAGAATTAGACTCTATTCAAGAGAGTCTATTCTATTGGCTTTCAAAAGCCAATAGAATAAAAGGGAGTAGCCCAGCTAAGGAAAAGGGGGGGGGGAAATGGCGGACTGCGTTGTTTGGCGACCCCCGTGAAATGGTCCTTCGACCCCAAATGGGGTCCCGACCCACAGGTTGAAAACCTCTGGGTTAGAAGAAGATGGATAAATTATATTCAGAATAAATATGGGACTAAAAAGTTTCATTTAGCCTACGAGTGAATTTTAGAGTATTATTATGATATTATTATTTTTAGTATTAGAGTTGTTTAACAATTTTGAGATTGCATTGTTTCATAATTAGGATATTAATTTGTTTATGTTTTCATTATTATGTTTCTTTTTAATTTGTTTATATTTATGCTAAAGGGGAGTTAAAGTGTAGTATGGACGTGGTTATTTATGTAGTTGGTTAATGTTAGTTAGATTATGATTATTATATTTGTAACCCTGTACTCAGCTCTGGGAAGTTGGGGAGGGAGAAGGGGAGGGGGTTTGGGGTGGGTTATATTGTCATTTTTATAAAACTTTGTAATAAAAAAAAATTATTTCGTATCAGTTTTCTCGATAGGAGATTGACATTCTCCCTTTATCGTTTTGCCCTTTTTATAACCAAAAAATGTCTTTCCGCCCAGACGCTCTCCTTCTACTTCCCCTCGTGTGGAAAGATCCCACCCCCGGTCATCATGGTGCAGAACGTGAGCTTCCGCTACAGCAAAGACGGGGTGAGTGGAGGGAGGGGGAGAGGGAGGGGGGAGGGAGGGGAGGACGGGATGGCGAGCCTCCGCTGTGCTTCCCTCCAGCACTGGATCTACAATAACCTGGAGTTCGGCATCGACCTGGACACGCGGGTGGCGCTCGTGGGGCCCAACGGAGCGGGGAAATCGACGCTGCTCAAACTCCTGACCGGAGAGGTAAGCCCACCCCAGCCACCCCTGCGGTGATGGAAAGGGCCGAGCTCCCTGGAGGGGGGGGGGGCCTTCCTTTCTGCAGCTGTCTCACCGGCCGCTTCCTTTTCAGCTGCTCCCCACCGACGGGATGATCCGGAAGCATTCCCACGTCAAGATTGGCCGCTACCACCAGGTGGAGTTTGGAGAGGGAGGCGTTCCTGGACTATGATGGGTGGCAGGGAAGGAGGGACCCTCTTCCTTGTCCTGCCCCCTCCCCTCCCTCCTCCCCCCCACGCAAAGACCTTTTCAGAAGGGGAGGGGGAGAAGCCTCCTCTTAACGGGCCTTCCCCTCTCCCCCCCCCCCCGCAGCATCTGCAAGACCAGCTGGACTTGGACCTCTCCCCGCTGGAGTACATGCTGAAGTGCTACCCGGAGATCAAGGAGAAGGAGGAGATGCGGAAGATCATCGGCCGCTACGGGCTCACCGGGAAGCAGCAGGTGGGGGCTCGGCTCTCGAGCGGAATAGAGCTGGAAGGGACACCTAGGGATGGATTGGGGGGGCTCCTGCCGAGGCCTCTCCTGCTGCGCTTTGCTTGCTCTGGCCGGAGGTGCCGAGCAGCCTGGGACCTCCACGCGGTTGCTGGCCGGGCTCCGTGAGCGGCTGGCCGGTTCCCTTCCCTCTCGGGGGGGGGGGGGAGGATCTGGGGCCGGAAGCAGCTGGCTCCTGTGGATTGCCACCCATTTCACCTGCAGCTTGGATCCCGGGGCAGGGGCTCTTGGGGTAACCGTTCTCGCAGAGGGAGCTCAGCGGGAGAGGGAGGGGACCGCTCGATCCCCCCTGGCAGTTCTCCAGGCCGGTTCCGGCTGTCTCCCAACGGGCAGCAGTGGCCGGTCTCTCTCTTTCTCCCCAACTGGGGACGACGGTGCTGTACTCGGGCCCGTTTGGTGGCCTTTGCCCCCCCCCGGGGGGCCAGCTGGGAAGGCCAGGCGTGGGTCAGACGGGCTGTGCTGTGCTCGGCAGGTCAGCCCCATCCGGAACCTCTCGGACGGGCAGAAGTGCCGCGTGTGCTTTGCGTGGCTGGCATGGCAGAACCCCCACATGCTCTTCCTGGACGAGCCCACCAACCACCTGGACATTGAGACCATCGACGCCCTGGCCGACGCCATCAACGACTTCGAAGGCGGCATGATGCTGGTCAGCCACGACTTCCGCCTCATCCAGCAGGTCCGTCTGACGGGGGCGGCTGCTATGGTGGCCTACCTGGGCTGGGGGGGGAGGGTTTCTGCTTGACCTCTGATGCCCCTCCCCCTGCGGAGCTCCTGAGGCCTCCCCACACACCGTAATCGGCAGAGCCGGTTCCCGGCATCCCACGCAAAACAGACGCTCCCGGGGGGGCGGTTGGGGGCCTCCTCAGATTATCTTGGAAACCGATCCAAGCAAAGCGGCCAGCAAGCCGTGCACCAAGTTCCCGGAAAATGTCTCGGTGTGATTGTGGATGGTTCGGTAAAAGCACAAAGACCGTATGCTGTGTGAACGCTTGGAATACAGGCAGTCCTCGTTTAGTGGCTACTTCAGTGAGCAATCACTGAGTTGTGACAGTCCTGAAAAAGTAACTCCGCAGCCATCTCTTGCATTTAGGATCTATAAAGCTGAAGGGAGATCATAAACTCTTGACCGTGTTTAGCGAGCCCTTCGCTTAACAACCGAACGGCCGTGGTCCCTTTGCGGTCGCCAAAACGAGGACCGCCAATAAATGGTTTCAGGGAATTGCATAAAATGAAAACTTGGGGAGCTCCTCGCAAGGCCCCAGTGCTCCAGCTTCCCGCCAAAGTCGAATTTCAGAATGTAGGAAGAAACCCAAGGTCTGTGGGGCCGGAGAGGGGAGGGGGGGTGTAGTGCAGTTTAGACATAAAACGTGCCGCTGTACGATTCACGCAACGAAATTGGCAAACCACGATTCAGCGAGCTGTACAAACCCAGCCTGCGGGTTCCTCCTCCTCCCCCTCTCCCTCACGTAGGCCCTCCCCCTTCTCTCCCCCCCGGTGGCCCAGGAGATCTGGGTCTGTGAGAAGAGGACGATCAGCAAGTGGCCTGGCGACATCCTTTCCTACAAGGAGCACCTGAAGTCCAAGGTGGTGGACGAAGAGCATCAGCTCACCAAGAGGATGCACAACGTTTGAGCCGCCGTGGCAGCAAAGTCCCAGCCCTGCTCCTCCCCCCTCCGACACGGGTGCCGGCCTCCCCGAGGGAAGAGACGGGCAGGGTCCCCCTGGCTGCGCCCGGCCTCCCCTCGGCTTCTCCCCGCCTCTGCCGCCCCAAAGCCCTGCATCCGCCCAGCCCCAGCAGGGCAGCGAGAGTCGGCCTGGCTCCCTGCTTCAGATCCACCACTCCAAACTTCGATTTCTTTTTAATAATTATTTATTAGTGTAATTGCATTCCTGCCTGAGAAGGATCGGTCAATAAAGAGAGAGGAGCTTCACGCTTCCGCCTGCTTCTTTGGGGAAGGGGCCGTGTGGGGCTTTGGCGGCCCACGGGGGGGGGGGGTCCGTTTCCTCGGCACCGGGATCAGGGACCTCCCCGGCTGTGGCACATTGTTCCCCTTCTCCTCCAGGGGAGGGACGTGGGTGCGGACGGGCTGCCGGGAGGGGGGAAACGGGCTGCCCCAGGGGAGCCGAAGGGCCCCCCCCAGTCACACAAGGGACAAGGCTGGGTCCATTGCCTGCGGCCCTTTCGCCTTCCTCGGGATCGCCTCCGCAGTCCAGCAGCGTTGGAGGCAAGATCCCCTCCAGTCTGCGCCACCCGTTCAGTGGGGAGGGGACCAGTTTCCTCTCGGCTGCGATGTCTCCCGGTGTGATTGTCGTGGCCTACTCCTGACATAAAAACGGCTCTTTCTGCCTCCCCTTGTGGCGTCCATGTGGACGAGGGACGCTTGGGTCTTCTCCCCACCGTTTGGATCTGGGGGGGCTCCCCCTCTCTCGCGTTTGGGCCTAGGGGGGTGGAGGGCTCAGTGTGTGTGCGTCCTGCAGTCATGGACCTGCAAGGTCAACCCAGTTAAATCAGTGCTGTGCAGCCCACAGTAGCAAGGGAGCCACACAACAGCCCCTGAGCTGGTCCGACGGTTGAGGCAGCTTCTGGTTTTGAGAGAGTCTGGCAAAAACAGCCTTTAATCCTCTGGGCCCTGGTTCTGCTCAGGTGATAACGATCTGTCTTTATCTGTCTGTCTATCTATCTATCTATCTCAGTGGTTCTCAACCTTTCTAATGCCGCGACCCCATAATACAGTTCCCCATGTTGTGGTGACCCCCAATCACTTATACATCACCAGGTGCCAGGGGCGGGGCCAAAGAAAAGAGGAATAAAATGGCGGACAGCCTTGTTTGGTGACCCCTGTGAAATGGTCGTTCAACCCCAAATGGGGTCCCGACCCACAGGTGGAGAACCACTGATGTATCTGGTCTCTCATTATCTGTCTTCTGTTCATATCATCTACCTATCTCTATCAATATCTGTCTCTATCAATCATCTCTACATACCTATCTATAAATCTATCCATCGATATATTGTTGTTGTTAATTGCGAAGTCGTGTCCGACCCATCGCGACCCCATGGACAACGTTCCTCCAGGCCTTCCTGTCCTCTACCATCTTCTGGAGTCCATTTAAGTTCATGCCTCCTGCTTCAGTGACTCCATCCAGCCACCTCCTTCTCTGTCGTCCCCTTCTCCTCTTGCCCTCCATCTTTCCCAGCATCAGGCCCTTCTCCAGTGAGTCCTTCCTTCTCATTATATATAGATATATTTAGATATTTGTTTTCTGAGGTTTTCGCGGGTGTTTGTATGTAGGTCTTTGGTTATTTGGGTTTTCTCCCCCGTCAAATTGGAAGTGTCTTGGCGACGTTTCCACGAAGTCCCGTTCGTCATCTTCAGGCTGGTGTTTTCAGCTTCGTGCTTCTAGGAGCAATGTTTAGATATATGTCTGTCATCCAATTCTCTCCCTCCCGCTCCCTCTGATTTGTTGGCTGTCCCTCCTAGGGACCAGGCGGCCCTCCTCCCTCCCTCCGCTCTGTCTCCGTGCAGGAGCCGAATCCAGAATCCAGAAGCGGAGACCACCCAGCCTCCCCTCTGCCTTTTGCCAGCCAGCCTGCAGACCCTCCCTCAATTTCTGTCCGCCCTGCGGGTGGTTCTCAGCGGAGCCGGGATTGGGCAACTCAGCCGCTCCGTGCCAGGGCCTCTCCGCAGACGGTCACCACTCTGGGTGGGTGACCTCACTTCCCCTCCTGGCGGGGGGGGGGGGCTGGGCAAGGCGTCACCCGATGACGATGACAGTGACTCAGCCTTTATTTCTGCTTTCCCTATTAGGGCTCTGCTAAGGCAGCTGTAAGGCCTCCCTGGAAGGGGGAGGGGAAGCTGCTGCTCCTCCCTCTGGAGATCCTCTCCCTCTCTCCTTCTCCTTCTCTTTCTCTCTCTTCCTCTCTTCTTTCTCACTCTCCCCCTTCCTTCTCTCCCTCTCTTTCCTCTCCCCTCTCCCTCGCTCTTCTCTCTCCCTTCCTTTTCTCTCTCCCTTTCTTTCCTTTCCCCTTATTCTTTTTTCTCTCTTCCTCTCTTCTTTCTCACTCTCCCCCTTCCTTCTCTCCCTCTCTTTCCTCTCCCCTCTCCCTCGCTCTTCTCTCTCCCTTCTCCTCTCCCCCCTTCTCTCCCTTTCTTTCCTTTCCCCTTATTCTTTTTTCTCTCTTCCTCTCTTCTTTCTCACTCTCCCCTCCCTTCTCTTTTCTCTCCCCTCTCCCTCTTCCTCGCTCTTCTCTCCTCCTTCCCTCCCTTCTCTCCCTTTCTTTCCTTTCCCCTTTTTTCTCTCTTCCTCCCTTCTTTCTCACTCTCCCCCTCCCTTTTCTCCCTCTTTCTCGCTTTCCCTCTCCCTCCCTTCTTTCTCTTTCCTCTTCTTTCTCTCCCTTCTCCCCCTCCCTCCCCCTCCCTTCTCTCCCTCTTTCCCCCTCCCTCTCTTCTCTTTCTCGCTCTTCACTCTCTCCCTTCTCTGCCTCTTTCCTCTCACCTTTCCCTCTTCTTTCTCACTCTTTGCTCTTCTCCCTCGTCTCCTTTCTCTTTCCTCTCCCCTCTCCGTTTTCTTTCTTACTCTTCACTCTCCCCCTCCCCCTTTCTTTCCCCTCTCCCTCTCTTCTCTTTCTCGCTCTTCACTCTCTCCCTTCTCTTTCCTCTCACCTCTCCCTCTTCTCTTTCTCGCTCTTTGCTCTCCTCCCTCCCTTCTCTTCCCCTCCCTTCTCCCTCTCCTCTCCCTCTCCCCCTCCCTTCTCTCTCTCTCTCTCTCTCTCTCTCTCTCTCTCTCTCTCTCTCACACACACACACACACACACACACACACACACGCACACACACACGCTCTCATCTGATTCAATATGATCGTTTGGGCTGTGCCTCCCTATACAGGCTGACCTCCCCACCTGCTCGCCCTCTGCTCTCCCCCAATCTTGCCCCGGCTCAGGGTGGCTCCCAAGCTCTTCCGTGGCCTTCCCTGTTTTACTGATTTATTTCTGGAGGCGTCCCGGCAATTCCTGAAAGACGGCAATTCCTGAAAGACGAAGCTTCTCCCACTGGGGATTGGCTGCCAATCTAACGGCCTCTTCTCCCACCGGAGGCTCTTATAAATAGCACATATTTCCTGAGGTATTTTTTCATGTTGACAGAGCAACAAGAGTTGGGAGCGACCTTGGAGGTCATCTAGTCCAACCCCCTGCTCGGGCAGGAAATCCTATATACCATTTTGGACAAATGGCTGTCCAGTCTCTTCTTCAAAACTTCCAGTGTGGGAGCATTCACAACTTCATTGGTTGGCTGTCTTATTCTAATAATAATAATAATAATAATATGACTCTGATATAAAACGCTTATCAACTCAGATAGACAACTCAAAAGAAATGATCTTATAATAAACAAAAATATATTTTAATGAGAAAGATTACTTGCATTCACGCTGTGGGTTGATACTCCTGGAAAATACATCTTTTGTCCATTTCTTTAGACCATCTCTTTAGGTAAAAGTATGATGCAAGCAAGCAAGGGTAGGACCAATAGTAATAGACTCCTTGGGTGCAATCCCAAAACAACTGGAGCACCACTTGAACACCATCATCGGCATTGACAGATTCGCTATTAGTCAATTGCAAAAGGCGGCCTTACTAGGAACTGCTTCCATACTGTGACGATACCTGTAATACCATCAAACATCCACATCTGCCTATCCCAGGTCCTGGGTAAGGACTCGATAGGTAGACAAAATGCCAAATCCAGTCTGAACATTTGGCTGACTGTGCGATGATCGATAATAATAATAATAAAGCTGGAAGGGAGCTTGGAGGTCATCTAGTCCAACCCCCTGCTCAGGCAGGAAAGCCTAGACCATTTCAGACAAATGGCTGTCTAGTCTCTTCTTAAAAAACTTCCAGGGTTGGAGCATTCACCGCTTCTGGAGGCAGGTGGTTCCATTGGTTAATTGTTCTGTCAGGAAGTTTCTCCTTAGTTCCAGGTTGCTTCTCTCCTTGATTAGTTTCCACCCGTTGCTTCTTGTCCTGCCTTCAGGGGCTTTTGAGAATAGCTTGACTCCCTCTTATTTGGGGCAGCCCCTCAGATACTAGAACGCTGCTATCCTGTCCCCCCTCGTCCTTCTCTTCCTTAAACTAGACAGACCCAATTCCAGCAACCGTTCTTCGTATGTTTTAGCCTCCAGTCCCCTAGTCCTCTTTGTTGCTCTTCTCTCCACTCTTTCTAGAGTCTCGGCATCTTTTTTACATCATGGGGACCAAAACTGGATGCCGGATTCCAAGGGTGGCTTTACCAAGGCCTTGTAAAGTGGTAGTAAGGCTTCACCTGATCTTGATTCTAGCCCATCCCCCCTCTTCTTGCCTCCCCACCCCCACCCCAACTTGGCTTTGTCCTCACTTGATCCCAGCTCCTCCTTCAGTCCGGACACCTAGCAGAGTGGCACTTTTACAAGACCTCTTACCCTCGTCCGGCCAGCGTCCACTGCCTCCTCACCTCCCCCCTCCTCTGCAGCCTGAACGCAGGGCACCTCCGCACGGCACGGCGGCGCGGACCCTGCGTCATCACTGGAGGCTTTGGTGAAGAGACTGGACTGCCATCTCTTGGGAAAGGTGTAGGGACCCCTGCTTCGGAAGGGGGTTGGACTAGATGAGCCATAAGGTCCCTTCCAACTCTGTGATTCTATTCTATTCTATTCTATTCTATTCTATTCTATTCTATTCTATTCTATTCTATTCTATTCTTAACTCTGTTGTTCTGTAAGGGTCTCCTTGAGCAGGGGGTTGGACTAGATGACCTCTGAGGTTCCTTCCAACTATTCTATTCTATTCTATTCACTCTGTTCTGTCAGGGTCTCCTGCTTGCACATGGGGTTGAACTAGATGACCTCTGAGGTTCCTTCCAACTATTCTATTCTATTCTATATTCTAGATTATTCTATATTCTATTCTATTCTTTATTCTATTCTATTCTAAACTCTGTTCTGTAAGGATCTCCTTGAGCAGGGGGTTGGACTAGATGACCTCTGAGGTCCCTTCCAACTATTCTATTCTATTCTATTCTATTCACTCTGTTCTGTCAGAGGCTCCTGCTTGCACATGGGGTTGAACTAGATGACCTCTGAGGTCCCTTCCAACTATTCTATTCTATATTCTATATTATTCTATATTCTATTCTATATTCTATTCTATTCTATCTATTCTAAACTCTGTTCTGTAAGAATCTCCTTGAGCAGGGGGTTGGACTAGATGACCTCTGAGGTCCCTTCCATCTATCCTATCCTATCCTATCCTATCCTATCCTTATTCCATTGCTTATTCTATTCCTTTCTCTATTCTATTCTATTCTATTCTCAGTATTGCCCAGCCCTCCCGAGTGAAAAGTTCACAGTCCAGAACTACCGGAGCAACCGGGACGCGCGCAAACTGCGCTGGCATCTGGGGCGTCCTTCCCTCGCCCCCCCCCCAGCTCGCCCACCCCTCCCTCCGTCCTGGAACCCCTCCACCCTCTTCCTCTCCCCCCCCCCCAAGCAGCCGACGAAAGAGGGACGCTGCGGAGACGTCTCTTCCCCGGCCAAGCCGGGCCATCCCGGTGCACGAAGCCCGTCTCTTGCTGGGTCTGCAGCCCCCTCCTCGCCCGGGCGACCCCGGGCCGGGCCAGAGGCGAGAGGCCGGTGCAGCCGGCGGGTGGGGGGGGGGAGTGGGGAGGTCTGGAGTGGCGGGGACCCCCCCCCCCCGGCAGCCGCGCCCAGGGAAAGCGCGTGTGGACTCGCTGCCCCGCAAGAGGGGGGGTGGCCTGTCGCCCCTCCGGGTTCGCCCGTCTCTATGGGAACGGGGGACAATGATGGTGGGCGAGGCTTCGACGCCCACCTCCCAAGCGCCGGGCCCCGGGCGCGGATCAAGGGAGGATCATGGCCAGCAGGTGGGGAGGATCCTGCGCTGGGGGAGGGGGGAGGACTCCTGCCCTAGGGATGGGGGAGGACTCCTTTTCTAGGGGAGGGGGTGGGGGAGGACTCCTGCCCTAGGGATGGGGGAGGACTCCTGCGCTGGGGAAGGGGGAGGGGGAGGACTCCTTTGCTAGGAGAGGGGTGGGGGAGGACTCCTGCGGTAGGGGAGGGGGTGGGGGAGGACTCCTGCGATAGGGGAAGGGGGAGGGGGAGGACTCCTTTGCTAGGGGAGGGGGTGGAGGAGGACTCCTTTGCTAGGGGAGGGGGTGGGGGAGTACTCCTGCGCTAGGGGAGAGGGCTGGGGGAAGGACTCCTTTGCTAGGGGACGGGGGGAGGACTGCGCTGGGGGAGGGGGGAGGGGAGGACTCCTACGCTGGGGGAGGGGGGAGGGGGAGGGCTCCTGCGCTAGGGGAGGGGGGAGGGGAGGGCTCCTGCGCTAGGGGAGGGGGAGGACGTCTGCGCTGGGGGAGAGTAGTGGGGGAGGACTCCTGCGCTAGGGGAGAGGGGTGGGGGAAGGACTCCTTTGCTAGGGGACGTGGGGAGGACTGCGCTGGGGGAGGGAGGAGGGGAGGACTCCTGCGCTGGGGGAGAGGGGAGGGGGGAGGATTCCTGCGCTGGGGGAGAGGGGGGAGGACTCCTGCGCTAGGGGAGGGGGTGGGGGAGGACTCCTGCGCTAGGGGAGGGAATGGGGAAGGATTCCTGCGCTGTAGGAGAGGGGTGGGGGAGGATTCCTGCGCTAGGAGTGGGGGAGGACGACTGCACTGGGGGAGAGGGGTGGAGGGGAGGATTCCTGCGCTGGGGGAGAGGGGGGAGGACTCCCGCGCTAGGGGAGGGGGTGGGGGAGGACTCCTGCGCTGGGGGAGGGGAGCGGGGCGCTCGGCGCTCCGGGCAAGCGACTGGAGGGCCTCTTTCCCCCCCCTCCCGCGCCGTCTTCCCACCGCCCAGGCGCGCGTCGTCTTCCCCCTCTGCAGCACCTACGGGAAGCTGTGGCTGGAGTCGCGCCGGATCCTGCAGGAGCTCCTGGAGCAGGAGCTGTCGGCCGAGCCGAGGAAGGCCGAGAAGAGCCGCGCCGTCTTCTGGCACCGGCTGGCCAACCTCTTCCTGCGCTACGTGCAGGTGGCCCGGCGCCTGGAGGCCTGCTACGACCAGGTGGTGCACCCGCAGAAGCGCCTGGTGCTCCGCCCGCTGCTGGAGAGCGTGCTGGGCCGCCTCCTGGAGCTGAAGCAGGAGCTGGTGCAGCTGGACCGCTCCGAGTACCACTACATGGACCACGTGCTGGAGGAGCTGAAGCTGACGCCGGTCAGTCCAGGGCTGGGGGGGGGCGGACACACACACACACACACACACACACACACACACACACACACACACACACACACCGGCCTACCCCCCCCCCCAGGGGCTTTTTCACACCAGCCAGCTGGACCGTCCTTTTTTCCCCCTTTGAAGACGTTTCGCTCCCCATCCCGGGAGCTTCTTCGCTTCTGACTGGATGGCGGGGAAACGGAAGGCTTTAGAGACTCTTGGTCGTTTGAGCCAGTCCTGGAGGCCACCTGGGTGGAAAAAACGAAAGAATAAAAAAAAACTCCAGGGGCTCCGTGGGAAAGGCGCCTTCGGGTCAAGCGGGACCGTCTGGATGACCGACGGCCTCCCTAGAGCTGTCCTGGAGCCGGCCCCAAACCAGAGCCAGGGTTGCCTCTCCCCTCCTCTGGGGGTTTCCCGCCTGAGGCAGGGGGTTGGGCTAGATGACCTCCGAGGTCCCTTCCCAAGCCGGAAAGCTTGGGGTGAGCCGCCGTACAGGATGCTCGCTGAGGTTCAATCTCAGTGAGGGGGCTCTATGGAAGGAAGGGGATATCTTTCCCCCCCCACGCCCTTCACGTTTGTTCTCCCCCCCCCCCCCCCGCCAGAAGGAAGCTGTCCATCAATCACCCACTGCCTGAACATGGATGCGGAAGGGGAGGCAGAGCTGGAGAGAAAGTCGGAATTCAGCTGACAGACGGGGGGGGGGGAGATATCAGGGCATCCCCTCTGCCCCAGGGAGGGAAGTCCCAAAATCCTGTGAGAAAGGGGGCTTTGAATGCCCAGAGTCCCTCCTTCAGGCAAGGCAGGGGGGGGGGGGAGAAGGAACAACTCCGGCCGGGACACACACAGAGAGAGAGAGAGAGAGAGCAGTGACAGGCTGTCCCCCCCTCCCCCAAAGGATCCAGGCCTCCATACCTTGGTTGCCTGTTCTCACACACACACACACACACACACACACACACACACACACACACACACACAGGCTCTCTCTTTTGGCGGGATTGTCCTGGATCTCCAGCCACGAGGCCAGAGGCCCCCCCCCCCACAGACATGCGCGCCTGTACACACACACACACACACACACTCCCTTTTGGTGGGGTCGTCCTGGATCTCCACCCACGAGGCCAGAGACCCCCCCACCCACACAGACACGCGTGCCTGTACACACAAACAAACACACACACAAAGACGTTTATGGTGCCACCCTGAGGGCAGTGGGGGGCAGTGGGGGGCAGTGACGGGCTGTCCCCCCCTCCCCCAAAGGACCCAGGCCTCCATACCTTGGTTGCCTGTTCTCACACACACATACACACACATACACACACACACACACACTCCCTTTTGGCGGGGTCCTGGATCTCCACCCTGGATCTCCACCCACGAGGCCAGAGACCCCCCCACCCACACAGACACGCGTGCCTGTACACATAAACACACACACACAAAGACGTTTATGGTGCCACCCTGATTTTCAGCTGGAGGGCAATGGGGGGCAGTGACGGGCTGTCCCCCCTCCCCCAAAGGACCCAGGCCTCCATACCTTGGTTGCCTGTTCTCTCTCTCTCTCACACACACACACACACACACACACTCCCTTTTGGCGGGGCCGTCCTGGATCTCCACCCACGAGGCCAGAGGCCCCCCCCACACAGAGACACGCGTGCCTGTACACACGCGCGCGCGCGCGCACACACACACACACACAAAAACATGTTTACGATGCCAGCCTGATTTTCAGCCGGAGGGCAGTGGGGGGCAGTGATGGGCTGTCCCCCCCCTCCCCCAAAGGACCCAGGCCTCCATACCTTGGTTGCCTGTACACACGCACACGCACACGCTCTCCCTTTTGGCGGGGTCGTCCTGGCCTGGATCTCCAGCCAGCCGCCCCCCCCCCCAACTGGCTTCTTCCTCTCTTCCCCCCCCCCAGGCCGAGATGGAGGTGCCGATCCCCAGGTACTTCGTGAAGGAGCGGGCCAAGGTGCTCCAAGAACGTCAGGAGGTGCTGGCGGGACTCCTGGCCCGCATGGTGCCCACCAAGGCCATCTCTGTGAGTGCCCAGGCTGCTGCCCCCCCCTCCCGGCTTGGCACCGCGGCCATCCTCGCCCCCCCTCGGCTGAACAGCCCCTCTCCCTTCCCCCCCCAGACCCCCCACTCGCTGACCCTGCGGGACGAGGCGGTGCGCCTGATCCAGATGGCGGAGCGGATGCGCCAGGGCCGCCTCCGGGCCCACTTCATGGCCGAGATCCGGCGGGACGAGGAGCGCGAGCGGAGGAGGGTGAGGGAGGGCGAGGCCGAGCCCAACAGGGACCTGGCTGCCATCTGCATCCAGAAGGTAAGGGGCCGTTCGGGGCCTTTTCTGCTGTGCCCCCCCCCAACTCCCCCATCCCGTATGGCATTGCCTCTCCACCCCCCCCCCCATCGCCCCATCACTTCAATGCTTCCGAAGGGCCCTCAAAGCACGGAAGAATAGAATAGAATAGAATAGAATAGAATAGAATAGAATAGAATAGAAAATATGGAATGGAATAGAATAGAATAGAATAGAATAGAATAGAATAGAATAGAATAGAATAGAATAGAAAATATGGAATGGAATGGAATAGAATATAAAATGAATAGAACAGAACAGAAGAGAAGAGAAATACAGAATAGAATAGAATAGAATAGAATAGAATAGAATAGAATAGAATAGAATAGAATAGAATAGAATAGAAAATATGGAATGGAATGGAATAGAATATAAAATGAATAGAACAGAACAGAAGAGAAGAGAAATACAGAATAGAATAGAATAGAATAGAATAGAATAGAATAGAATAGAATAGAATAGAACAGAAAATATGAAATGGAATACAATAGAAGATATGAAATAGAATAGAAAATATGAAATAGAATAGAATAGAATAGAACATAGACTAGACTAGATTAGACTAGAATAGAACATAAAATGAATAGAATAGAACAGAACAGAATAGAAATACAGAATAGACATACCGAATAGAATAGAATAGAAAATATGAAATAGAATAGAATAGAACATAGACTAGACTAGAATAGAATAGAACAAAATGAATAGAATAGAACAGAATAGAAATACAGAATAGAAATACAGAACAGAATAGAATAGAATAGAAAATATGAAATAGAATAGAATAAAAAATATAGAATAGAATAGAAAATATAGAATAGAATAGAAAATGAAAGAAAAGAATAGAAAATATGAAATGGAATACAATAGAAAATATGAAATAGAATAGAATAGAAAATATGGAATAGAATAGAAGATGAAATAGAATAGAATAGAAAATATAGAATAGAATAGAAAATGAAATAGAATAGAATAGAAAAGAATAGAATAGAAAATATGAAATGGAATACAATAGAAAATATGAAATAGAATAGAATAGAATAGAATAGAGGAATGAATAATAGAATAAGAAGAGAAGAGAACAGAACAGAATAGACGCTGGAAGCAGGAAGGGGTCCCTTAGAATGGGGGTCATTTAACATTTGGAAATGAGGACTGTTAAATGTTAAATTTAAATATGAATGGAAAATTAAAAGCGGGAAAAACGCACTAGGTCACTGATTGTCTAAAAAGATTGAATGTTAAAATAACGGAGATATATATCGACCAAAAACTACTGATAAAGGTCAGAAAGTGATTTTGCATTTAATCGATCCAATAAGAATTGTATTCATTTAAAAGACAAGAGACAGGACATACTAAGGGTGAAAAGAGAGCAAACATTGAATGTGATAGTTTGAGATTTGGACTAAAGATAATTGTGCGTTAGGGAATGACTGGCCAACTCAGCCGCCACGTTGCTTGTCAAACATTTAAATGTAAAATCACAAAATCAATAAAAAAAATTTTTTTAAAAAAAAATAGGGATCCCTTAACCTCCCTCCACCCCGTTATTCCTGCTGGCGTTTGGACAATTTGGGATATTCATTGTTTTCATGGGGTTGCCCAGAGTCGCTCCCCCCCCCCCCCCGTCGGAGATGGTCGGTTCTATGGGATCAGATCCACCCATCGATCAATCAATCCTGCAAGGATGGCACACAGTTGACGTTTCCCAGCTTCCCACTGGCCCAGCAGCCCGGGGGGGGGGGCAGTCTGACTGGCTTGACGGGGCGGGTCTGATGGGCACCGGGCTGGGGCTACCACCGCGGGCCCCTCCAGGAGTGAAGGAGGGGGGAGGTCCAGCTGTTTTAGCCGAGTTCTCAGGCAGAGAAAGGCACACCAGGCCCTGTGGCGTGAAAAGAGCTGCCCCTTGGACTCCCCCGATCGGGTGGGCCAGGGCGCCCTTCCTGGCACTTCCCAACCACCTTCCTGGGGACTAGCGCCTTGCATCGGTGAGCACTTGAGCTTCGGGGGGGGGGCTCTCCCGGGGCCCCAGAGGACGGAGCACCCGGCCTGCTCTGGGGAAATCGTCGAAGGCTTCGGGGGACGGGGGGGTTCCCCAGAGGCGCCCCCAAACGACCCTCGTCTCCCCCGCGCAGGTGTGGAAAGGCCACGCGCAGCGACGGCTGACCAGGATGGCGCGCCGGGCCGAGATGGCGTTCATCGGCATGGTGAGCGCTCCCCCCCCCGGGACGGGGGGGACGGGCCGGGCCGGGCCGTGGGCGAGAGCTCAGGACGAGGCGCGCAAGACGGACCGTCCGGCTCCCCGCCGGAGTCCTCGGGGCGCGCTGTCAGCGGACGGCAGCCCCGAGGCGGCGGACGGCAGCCCCGCCGCGCGCTGCTCCTCTGGCTGCCGGAGCGGCCCCCGCTCGCCCCCCCCCCCGCTGCCATTAGCGAGTGTTTAGTTCAGCGTTTTCCATAATTGTGTCCTCGGAATGATATTTAAAATCCATTTGGGGCGCAATGAGGCGGGAAAGTGCCTGCGCGCCGCTGCCGGGCAGGGAAGCGCCGGGCGGGCATATTAGAAACTCATCACGGAGTAATTTACGCCGCGCGCCCGGCTCCGTTCCTACTAATGGCCTCTCCGGGGCGCCCCCCCCCGCGAGCTCCCCCCCTCCCCGCGTCTCTGGCCCGTCCCGAGCGGGGGGGGGGAGAGGCTGACCGGGGCTCCGGCCCGCCCGCAGGAGCTGGAGCCGCATCTGGAGGGCCCCTCGCCGGCCACGATCCGCGCCCAGCTGGGGGAAGAGCTGCGGCGGATGCGCCAGGCGGACTACGAGGCCGAGTACCGGGAGGCGCAGGAGCGCATCCGCGAGGCCCTGCTCGACGTGGAGGGGCCCCACCTCCGCGAGCAGCTGCGCGAACAGCTCCGCCAGTGGTTCATCGAGTGCCGGTGAGCGGGGGGGGGGCGGGAGGGGGCTGCGTGGTGTGGGCAGCGTGAGAGGGGGTCTTTCCGGCTGGTCGGGGGCTCTCCGTCCAGGGACAGAGGCGGGGCGGCGGCCGGGAAGGTGCCCTGCCCATCCCATCCCATCCTATTATCTGTTATTTTCTATTCCATTCCATTCCATCTCATCCTATTCCATCCCATCATCTATTATTTTCTATTCCATTCCATCCCATCCTATTATCTGTTATTTTCTATTCCATTCCATTCCAATCCATCCCATCCTATCCTATCCTATCCTATCCCACCCCATCCCATCTCATCCCATCCCATCTCATCTCATCCCATTCCATTATTTGTTATTTTCTATTCCATCCTATTCCATCCCATCCCATTATGTTATTTTCTTTCTTTCCATTCCATCCTATTCCATCCCATCCCATCCCATCCCATCCCATTCCATCCCATCCCATTCCATTCCATTATCTGTTATTTTCTATTCCATCCCATCCCATCTCATCCCATTACATTCCATCCCATCCCTACCCATTCCATCGCATCCCATCCCATTCCATTATCTGTTATTTTCTATTCCATCCCATCCTATCCCACCCCATCCCATCTCATCCCATCCCATTCCATCCCATCCCATTCCATTATCTGTTATTTTCTATGCCATTCCAATCCATCCCATCCTATCCCACCCCATCCCATCCCATTATCTGTTATTTTCTATTCTATTCCATCCCATTCCATTCCATCCCATCCCGTCCCCAATCCCACTCCATCCCATTATCTGTTATTTTCTATTCCATTCCATTCCATCCCATCCTATCCCACCCCATCTCATCTCATCCCATCCCATTATCTGTTATTTTCTATTCCATTCCATTCCATCCCATCCTATCCCACCCCATCTCATCTCATCCCATTATCTGTTATTTTCTTTCTTTCCATTCCATCCTATTCCATCCCATCACATCCCATCCCATTCCATTATCTGTTATTTTCTATTCCATCCCATCCCATCCCATCCCATCCCCCATCCCACTCCATCCCATTATCTGTTATTTTCTATTCCATTCCATTCCCTCCCATCCTATCCCACCCCATCCCATCTCATGTCATCCCATTATCTGTTATTTTCTTTCTTTCCATTCCATCCTATTCCATCCCATCCCATTCCATCCCATTCCATTATCTGTTATTTTCTATCCCATCCCATCCCATCTCATCCCATTCCATTCCATCCCATTCCATTATCTGTTATTTTTTATTCCATTCCATTATTTTTCTATATTCTATCCTATCCTATCCTATCCTATCCTATTCTTCATTCCTCTATTCCAGTGGTTCTCAACCTGTGGGTCGGGACCCCATTTGGGGTCGAACGACCATTTCACGGGGGTCGCCAAACAAGGCTGTCTGCCATTTTTTCCCCCTTTTCTTTGGCCACGCCCCTGGGACCCGGTGATGTATAAGTGGTTGGGGGTCACCACAACATGGGGAACTGTATTATGGGGTCGCGGCATTAGAAAGGTTGAGAACCACTGCTCTATTCTATTCTATTCTATTCTATTCTATTCTATTCTATTCTATTCTATTTTATTATTATTCTATTCTATTCTATTATTATTCTATTCTATTCTATTCTATTATTATTCTATTCTATTCTATTTTATTATTATTCTATTCTATTCTATTCTATTCTATTCTATTATTATTCTATTCTATTCTATTATTATTCTATTCTATTCTATTTTATTATTATTCTATTCTATTCTTATTCTATTCTATTCTATTCTTATTCTATTCTATTCTATTATTATTCTATTCTATTCTATTCTATTATTATTCTATTCTATTCTATTCTATTATTATTCTATTCTATTCTATTTTATTATTATTCTATTCTATTCTATTCTATTCTATTCTATTATTATTCTATTCTATTCTATTATTATTCTATTCTATTCTATTTTATTATTATTCTATTCTATTCTTATTCTATTCTATTCTATTCTTATTCTATTCTATTCTATATTCTGTTCTATTCTTATTCTTATTCTTATTCTATTCTATCCCATCCCATCCCATCCCATCCCATCCCATCCCATCCCATCCCTGCCCTGCCCTGCCCTGCCAGCTGATGCCAGAAGCTTCGGCCCCTGTCCTGCCTCCCGCAGGGACCTGACTGGCCGCTTCCCGGACTACCCAGAGGAGGAAATTGGGGGCTGCCTGGTCCTTTTCGCCCAGAAGACCCCGGAAGAGGTAGGGGTGGGCCATAAGGGGTGGGGAGAGGGAGGCGGGGGGGGCGCTGGGGACACCTCCCCCGCAGTGCCACGGCTGCTCCTCCGTGCCCGGCTGAGAGCCTCCCTCCCTCGTTCGCCCCCCCCACCCGTCTCCAGGTGAGGGCCGAGCTGGACCTGGCGGAGATCAAGACTGACTCAAAGAAGGAGAAGGCGAAAGAACCAACGGCGGAGAAGGAGCCGAAGGACAAGAAGGAGGAGGAGAAGAGATCGGTGAGGGGAGGGGGCTGGCCAGACTGACTTCTGCCCCGTGGGGTGGTCTTTGGGGGGGGGAAACGGGATTGAGGGGCCCGTCCGTTCTCCCTCCAGGAGGAAGAGGAAGGGCTGAAGCTGGCTCCCTCCAAGTTCCTGGCCTCCATCCACCAGGGATTCCTGTGCTACACGGGTGAGCGGGCAGCGGCCACAGGGCCCCCCCCCCAGGTGGCCTTCCGCCAGGAAAGGCGGGGCAGGAGGGGCAGGGGGAGAGAAAGGGGAGGGGAGAGAGGGAGGGAAAAAGAGGGAGAGAGAGATGGAGGGAAGGAGGGAGAGAGAGGGGGCAGGTGGAGGGAGAGACGGGGAGAGAAAGGGGAGAGGAGAAAGAAAGAGAGAGAAAGGGGAGGGGAGAGAGAGTGAGGGAAAGGGAGGGAGAGAGATGGAGGGAAGGACGGGGGGAGAGAGAGGGGGCAGATGGAGGGGGAGGCAGGGGGAGAGAGAAAGGAGAGGGAGAGGAGAGAAAGGAGAAAGGGAGAGAGAAAGGAGGGGAGAGAAAGAAAGAGGGAGAAAGAAAGGGGAGGGGAGAGAGAGGGAGGGAAAAGGAAGGAGAGAGATGGAGGGAAGGACGGAGAGAGGGGGCAGATGGAGGGGAGGCAGGGGGAGAGAGAGAAAGGGGAGGGGAGAGAGAAAGGAGAGAGGGAGAGGAGAGAAAGGAGAAAGGGAGAGAGAAAGGGGAGGGGAGAGAAAGAAAGGGAGAAAGAAAGGGGAGGGGAGAGAGAGGGAGGGAAAAGGAAGGAGAGAGATGGAGGGAAGGATGGAGAGAGAGGGGGCAGATGGAGAGGAGGCAGGGGGAGAGAGAGAAAGGGGAGAGGAGAGAGAAAGGAGAGAGGGAGAGAGAAAGGGGAGAGGAGAGAGAAAAATGGAAGGAGGGAGCGAGAGGGGGGAGAGAGGGGCTAGACCTTCCTTCGCTCTTGGGGGGCTGGGGCCCTCGCTCTCTTTCTTGCTCGGGCTCCCCCCCCCCGGTTTGTGGGGGGGGGGCTGAGGGGGCTGCAGGCTTGCCACCGGGCCTCGCCCGCTTCCTTAGGCTGCTGGGGCGAAGACGACGAGGCCGCCAACTTTGAGCAGCGCTACCAGTCGGCTCTGATCAAGGTGGAGAAGAGGAGAGAGGTGGAGACGGAGATCCGGCTGCAGGTGGGCGGAGGCCAGGCTGGACACTTGGGCAGAAGAGGAGAGGGGGGGAGGGAGAGGGAGGGAGGGAGAGAGAGAGAGAATGCGATGGAGGGAGAGTGAGGGAGAAAGATGGAGGTAGGGTGAGAGGGAGAGAGAAAGAGGGAGAGAGAAAGGGGGAGAGAAAGTGGGAGGAAAATAGAGGGAGAGAGAGATGGAGGGGAGAGAGAGGGGGCAGATGGAGGGGGAGGCAGGAGGAGAGAGAGAAAGGGGAGGGGAGAGAGAAAGGGGAGGGGAGAGAAAGAGGGAGGGAAAGGGAGGGAGAGATGGAGGGAAGGAGGGAAAGGGGCAGATGGAGGGGGAGGCAGGGAGAGAAAGAAGGGAGAGGAGAGAGAAAGGAGAGAGGGAGAGGAGAGAGAAGGGAGAGGAGGGAGAAAAATGGAGGGAGGGAGGGAGGGAGAAAGAGAGATGGAGGGAGGGAGGGAGAAAGGGGAGAGGAGACAGAAAAAGAGGAGAAAGAGAGGGAGATAGAAAGGAGAGGAGAGGGAGAAAAGGGCAGAGGAGAGAAAAAGGAGAGAGGGAGGGAGAGAAAAGGAGAGGGAGGTGGCTGGAGGGAGAGAGAGAGGAGAGTAAAGGGAGAGGAGAGAGAAAGGAGAGAGAGAGAAAGGAGAGAGGAGAGAGAAAAAGGAGAGAGAGGGAGGGAGGTTGAGAAAAGGGGAGAGGGAGGAGGCTGGAGGGAGAGAAAAGGAGAGAAAGAAAGGGCAGAGGAGAGAAAAAGGAGAGAGAGAGAGAGAGACACCCCCTTGGCCTTTCCCCCCCCCCCCCAGGTGGATGATCTGATGCGCGAGGAGCTGGAGCAGCTGCGACTGGCCGTTGACCAGGAGGAGATGAGGACCCAGAAGCCCCCCAAGAGCGCCAAGGTCGGGGGGGGGAGAGCCTGGGAGAGGGGGGGGACATCAAAGCCCTTGCCCCCCCCACAAACACACATACCCCCCTTGGCTCCATGGAAAACGTTCCCTTTCTCCAAGCAGGCCAAGAAAGGGAAGAAAGAAAAAGACCTGACCCCAGACAGGTACTCCCCGCACTCCTGCCCCCAAACTTTCTGGGGGGGGGGGCTGGGACTGTGGGGGGGGACGTTTCCCCCCCACCCTGCATCCCTTGGCCTGTCTTTAAAGCCAGCCGACCTGCAGCTTGTCTTCCCTCCCCCACCCTTGCAGGAAGGGGATCCCGGACCCTCAAACAGGGGTCCGGCTACGGTGGGGGTGGGGGTGGGGCGCCCACGCCAAGAGCGTTACCGATTCGGCTGTCGTCTCCCCAGATAATATTCTGCGCCCCGGCGGGAGCGGCGGCCACATCATCTCCCCAGCCTAACCCCGGGGCGTAGAACCGTCTTTCTTGGGAAATGGCTTTTTTAATGCTTTCGCCTGGGAAAACTAATAGGGTGGGCCCCCCACCCCCCCTCCCCGGAAATCCCCCCCCATGCTTCGCCCCGAATCCTGCAGCGTGTCTGAATGTTCCGTCTTTGACGAAGAAGGTTTATAAAGCGCCGGACGCAGACTGGGTGGCGGTCAGGCCTCGCCCTGCTTTGCCTCCTTGGGGTCGCCGTTCGTTTCTATAGCGGCCTTGCCAAGCGCTGGGAGAATGATGATGATGATAATAATAATAATAATGAGAAGGAGAAGGAGAAGTTGGAAGGGACCTGGGAGGTCATCTAGTCCAACCCCCTGCTCAGGCAGGAAACAATACACCACCATTTCATGCAAACAGTTGTCCAGTCTCTTAATAATAATAATAATAATAACAACAACAACAACAATAATAATAAAGTTGGAAGGGACCTGGGAGGTCATCTAGTCCAACCCCCTGCTCAGGCAGGAAACAATACACCATTTTGGGCAATCAGTTGTCCAGTCTCTTAATAATAATAATAATAATAATAATAATAATAATAATAATAATAATAATAATAATAATAATAATAATAATAATAACAACAACAACAACAACAACAACAATAATAAAGTTGGAAGGGACCTGGGAGGTCATCTAGTCCAACCCCTTGCTCAGGCAGGAAACAATACACCATTTTGGGCAAACAGTTGTCCAGTCTCTTAATAACAGCAACAACAACAACAACAACAATAATAAAGTTGAAAGGGACCTGGGAGGTCATCTAGTCCAACCCCCTACTCAGGCAGGCAACCCTACACCGTTTTGGACAAATGGCTGCCCAGTCTCTTCAAAACTTCCAGTGTTGGAGCATTCACCGCTTCTGGAGGCAGGTTGTTCCACTGGTTAAGTGTTCTCACTGTCAGGAAATTTCTCCTTAGTTCTAGGTTGCTTCTCTCCTTGCTGAGTTTCCATCTGTTGCTTCTCGTCCGGCCTTCAGGCGCTTTGGAGAACAGCTTGACTCCCTTTTCTTTGGGGCAGCCCCTGAGATACTGGAACACTGCTATCCTGTCCCCCCTCATCCTTCTCTTCATTAAACTAGACATAACCTCTGAGGTGCCTTGTCTTCCTCCTCCTGTGGCTGCATGGGGAGACACCTGTCAATCTGGATCTGGACGTGTGTGTGTGTGTGTGTGTGTGTGCGCGCGTGCAGGGGGAGGGGGAACCTATAGGCACCAATGAAAGGAAGGAGAAACGGGGAGCACCTAGTCTCAAAGGGCAATTCCCTCCTCCAATTAGTGGCCCTAAATCACCTTCCCTGTCAGTTTGAAATGCAGACCTTCCCTCCAGTTCTCCAACCCGCCATTTCTTATCCTCTCCCCATCTTTTCCCACAGTCTGGCAGGGCAGAGGGTTCAGGAAACCCCTGCCCCCCCTGGGAAGCCCAGCCTCCCCCGGAGATCCTCCGAGGCTCCTGCTCACCCAGGGTTGATTCCCCACCGCCACCACCATCCCGGTTTCCTTCCCATCATTGCTGGGCTGAGTGGGGAGCTCCCCTCGCTCAGTCCCCCCTTCACCCCCCTCTTTCAGCTGCCGGAGGGAGGAAGGGGGGGCTGTCTGGGGCTGCCGCGGCACCCAGGCCCCCCTCTCGCTTTTCCCCCAGGACCATCGACTCCCTCTACGAGGAACTGGTCCTCCAGGGCATCATTAAGAAGCCCCCGAAGGTGCAGCTGGCCGACTACTCAGGTCAGTGGCAGTACCCCCTCCCTCTCAGAAGGCCCCCTCCGGTCCCGTGGCTGGGAACCTCGGCGGGAAGCAGCCCACCCAGCCCTCGCTCTGACCAAAAGCAGGGGCGGTGGAACGTGGGCACGGCTGGCCGCCTCCCCCCTCAGTTCTCGTCCTCGGCTCCGGCTCAGCTGCCAGCCGGGTCCTGGGGGAGGGTCCGTGGGGGCTGCTCAGATGGTCCTGCTCGGTAGAACCTCCCCCCCTAAAAAAGGACCGGAGAGGCTCCTGGCTGGACGTTGTGCCACTTGTCCGAGCCCTCCATTGCCGGATGTCAGCTTGTTAGGGCTCAGATCTGGTATTTCGGGGTGGCGGTGTCCCTCAAGCCCACTTCCCAGGGTGGTGTGTACTGCAGATGTCCCAAACTCCCCCCGCACCTCACAGAATGCTACGGGATCCCCTCAGACAGGAGGCAGAGACGGGGGTCTTTATCCAGTTTTCTGGACGTCTTGGGTTCACCCATCACCTCGTTACGCCGAACAATCCCGGTTAAGGCTGCCAGCTGTCCAAGCCAGGCCTAGCCCCTCTGGGGAGGTACCCTAACTGGGGTGGGGGGGCTCCTCTGCAGAGGGCGGAGACTCATGGGCAGCCCAGGGCAGGGGGGGGACTCCAGCAGGCCCGCCCTGGCGTTCTTGCGCTTCAAGGACAGGACGGGCAAGGACGGCCTCTCCCCGGGCACCTCTCCCTTTTCCTGGAGGGCCCCTGCAAGGGAAGGGCTGAGGTCTGGGCAGTCAGGGCTAGGGGTTAGGGTTCAGGGGGCAGCCCTTTGCTCAAGCTCCCTCTCCGTATGCGCTCGGTGGACCCTCCGGTTACTCTGTAAAGCCCCACGCGAGTCTGGATCCAGCGGCGTAGTAGGAAGTCGGTCGTGCCGATCCGTAGTGAGATTCCCACCCCCCATTGCCCCTCCGGCCCCATTTGAAGGCCATCTAGCTGCCCCCGCGAAGGCGGCCGTGGAGCCTGGGTGCCAGAGGGGAGCCTGTGGGCTGCCCAGCTCCTCTCCCGCCGTCCTGGAGACGGGGAGCTTGGCCATCCTGGGGTGCCCCCGCCGTGGAGCCCTTCAGTGCCAGCTGGGCCTCTGCTTCCCTCGCAGGGGACTTCTGCTACCTGGGCACCGCCTTGCGCCAGAAGGACATTGAGCCCGTCCCCTCCATGCTGGACGTCCGGCAGAACGTCGCCCTCTACGCGGTCCTTCCTCTGGGTGAGCCGGCGGGGTCGGTCTGGGCTTTGGGGTCTCTGCCCTTCTCCAACCTTCCCATCTCTCTGTCTCCCTCCTGCCCCCCGCCAGGTTCCCAGACCCTGCACGAATTGGCCCCCCAGGTGAGGTCGCTGCTCCTGGCCGGCCCGGTGGGCACGGGCAAGAGGACGCTGGTCCACGCTGTCTGCACCGAGACGGGGGCCAACCTCTTCGACCTTTCCCCGGACAACGTGGCCGGCAAGTATCCGGGCAAGGCCGGCCTGCAGATGCTGCTTCACCTGGTCTTCAAGGTACGGAGCCCCCTTGGCGGACGGAGGCCCCCCTCCCCAATGGGGGGGACAGCGGGGGTCCTGCAGGGAGAAGCCGGAGCAGCTGGTGAGTGGCAGAGAGGGGCCCCCTCCTGGCCCAGGGGGCGGGGCTCCCCTCTTTCACCTCCTGGCTGGTGCTGGCTGGGAAAGAGCAGCGGGGGAGGGGGGGGGGTTGTCCAGAGCCTCCACATTCCCCGTCTCCCAAGATCCCTTGCAGCTTGGTTCTGGTTCGGATTCGGATTCGGATTGATTCCGATTCCGATTCCGATCCCGATTGATTCTGATTCTGATTTGGATTGATTCTGATTCCGATTCCAATCCTGATTGATTCTGATTCTGAATCCTATTCCAATCCCGATTGATTCTGATTCTGATTTGGATTGATTCTGAGACCGATTCCAATCCCGATTGATTCTGATTCTGATTCGGATTGATTCCGATTCCGATCCCGATTGATTCTGATTCTGATTTGGATTGATTCTGATTCCGATCCCGATTGATTCTGATTCTGAGTCCGATTCCGATTCTGATTCCGATCCCAATTGATTCTGATTCGGATTCTGATTCGGATTTGGATTCTGATTTGGATTGATTTTGATTCCGATCCGGATTGATTCGGATTCCGATTTCGATCCCAATTGATTCTGATTCTGATTCTGATTCCAATCCCGATTGATTCTGATTCGGATTGATTCCGATTCTGATTCCGATTCCGATCCCGAGGCACCGGTCTAGAAGAACCAAAGGAAGGCTATGTGCCAAGTTGACTTTACTTGGGGGCGGCTCTTGTGATTGTGTGCGTGTGTGTGTGTGTATGTGCGTATCTTTTGGATCAAGTCCATCCTTGTCAGGGTCAGCCACAGCATCCTGCTCGTTCTGTCTGCCTCCCCCAACCCCTCCACCCCCCGGGAAGTGCAGGTGGCCCGCCTTCTGCAGCCGTCCGTCATCTGGGTCGGGGGCGCGGAGAAGATGTTCTACAAAAAGGTCCCCAAGGAGGAGAAGGAGGTGAGTCAGGCCCGGGTGGTGGAGGGGGGGCACCTTCCCCTGGCCGCCCAAGAGGCCCCTGGCCGGTCCACCCCACCCCTGGCCAAATCTGGCCCCGGGGCTGACCAATCCCGGGAGCTCCTGGCCTTGCCCTGATCCGGGGGGGGGGGCGGGGTGGGCACGGCTGTCTCCCCCCCCTGCAGCTGGACCCCAAGCGGCTGAAGAGAGACCTGCCCAGAGCCCTGAAGCTGCTGAAGGCCGAAGACCGGGTGCTGCTGATGGGCACCTCCTCCCAGCCCTACCTGGCCGAGACGAAGGCCCTGTGCAAGGCCTACGAGAAGATCCTGCTTCTCCCCAAGCCCGACTACGCCGCCCGCTACGGTGAGAGGAGGAGGAGGGGGGGCACTGGGGGAGCCTCCACTGGGGGGGGGGGAACGGCCTCCTGGAAAGGCCGGAGGGAGGGAGGGGGTGCAGTGGCTGGATAGAAGACTTTGGGGTAGACAGAATCACCACCAGATGGATCCGTAGCTGGCTGGCCGGCCGTACTCAGCGAGTGGTCCTCAATATCTATATCAGTGGTTCTCAACCTTTTTAATGCCGCGACCCCCAACCGGTCGTAAGTTGAGGACTACTCAACCGGTCGTAAGTCGAGGACTACTCAACTGGTGCAGCACCGTTTGCAGAACGGGACTTTTGGCGGGCTCAGCAGGGCAGAGACAACCTGGACAATTCCTATTGGCTTTTGAAAGCCAATAGAATTAGACTCTATTCAAGAGAGTCTCTTCTATTGGCTTTCAAATGGGGTCCCGACCCACAGGTTGAGAACCATTGGTCCAGATCCTTCTGTATCCTAAGCCTGTCTTCTGGAGTGTTGGCTATTCCTGCCAGCTTGGTGTCATCTGCAAATTTGATGAGTTCCCCATCTATCCCTTCATCCAAATCGTTGATGAAGATGTTGAAGAGCACTGGGCCCAGAACGGAGCCCTGGGGCACCCCACTACACACTTCCCTCCATATAGATCAGTGGTTCTCAACCTGTGAGTCGGGACCCCATTTGGGGTCAAACGACCATTTCATGGGGGTCGCCAAACAACGCCGTCCGCCATTTTCCCCCCCCCTTTTCCTTAGCTGTGCTACTCCCTTTTATTCTATTGGCTTTTGAAAGCCAATAGAATAAACTCTCTTGAATAGAGTCTCATTCTATTGGCTTTCAAAAGCCAGTAGGAATTGTCCAGGCTGTCTCTGCGCTGCTGAGCCCGCCAAAAGTCCCATTCTGCAAACGGTGCTGCACCAGTTGAGTAGTCCTCGACTTACGACTGGTTGAGTAGTCCTCGACTTACGACCGGTTGGGGGTCGCGGCATTAAAAAGGTTGAGAACCACTGATCTGGACAGACTTGAACACTGGGCTCTATCTAACAAAATGAAATTCAAGGGTGAAAAAAGCAAGGTTCTACATTTAGGCAAGAAAAACCAAATGCATAAGTACAGCATAGGTGGCACCATGCTCAATAGTAGTAACTGTGAGAGGGACCTCGGAGTCCTAGTAGACAATCACTTAAATAGGAGCCAGCCGTGTACTGCAGCTGCCAAAAAGGCCAACACAGTGCTAGGCTGCATTAACAGAGGGATAGAATCACGATCACGTGAAGTATTAATACCACTCTTTAATGCCTTGGTAAGGCCACACTTGGAATACGGCATCCAGTTTTGGTCACCACGATGTAAAAAAGATGCTGAGACTCTAGAAAGAGTACAGAGAAGAGCAACAAAGAGGATTAGGGGATTGGAGGCTAAAACATATAAGGAACGGTTGCTAGAATTGGGTATGTCTAGTTTAACGAAGAGAAGGACAAGGGGGGACATGATAGCAGCGTTCCAATATCTCAGGGGCTGCCATAAAGAAGAGGGAATTAAGCTATTCTCCAAAGCGCCTGAAGGCAGGACAAGAAGCAACGGATGGAAACTGATCAAGGAGAGAAGCAACCTAGAACTAAGGAGAAACTTCCTGACAGTTAGAACAATTAGCCAGTGGAACTACCTGCCTCCAGAAGTGGTGGATGCTCCAACACTGGAAGTTTTTTAAGAAGAGACTGGACAGCCATTTGTCCGAAATGGTGTAGGGTTTCCTGCCTGAGCAGGGGGTTGGACTAGATGACCTCCAAGGTCCCTTCCGACTTTTTTATTATTATTATTATTATTATTATTATTATTATTATCATCATCATCATCATCATCATCATCATCATCATCCTCTCCCAGAACCCTCCCCGGGGCCAGGCTGTTTGGGAGGGGGGGCACCTGGCCTAGTCTAACCCTTCCCCCCCTCTCCTCCCCCCGCAGTGACGTGGCAGTGGCTGATCCAGAGGCACGGCGGGGTGGTGACCAGCAGCCTGGACCTGAGCGCCCTGGCCAAGGTGTCGGATGGCTACAGCCAGGGCAGCCTGGCGCAGGCGGTGAAGCTGGTGCTGACCGAGAGGCGGAGGCTGCAGCTACCCAAGAAGCCGCTGTGCGCTGTGGAGCTCCTGCACATGCTGGCCAGGGCCGACCCCGTCTACCCGGAGGAGCAGGAGATGCTGCAGGTATGGCCCCTCCCCTCCCGGCCTCCCTGGGGCCGTTGGGCGCCGCCCTTCTCTGCCTGGCCAGGAGCCCCCAGTGGCTGGAGCGCAGCACTGCAGGCCGACTCTGCCTTCCTCCACAGCCTACAGTTCGATCCTGACCGGGTCGGCTCTGCCTTCCACCGTCCCTCCGAAGTCGCTAAAACGAGGACCCGGATTGTTGGTTTTGGGGGCGAAGAACACTGACTCGGCGCCCCGCTTAGAGGGGGCTGTAAAAGCCCTGCGGGGCGGCGTAGGGGCGGTCCTCAACTTAACGACCGCGATTCCACCTTCCGTGGCTAAGCGAGGCATTTTGCGAACGGCTCTTTTGCGACCTTTCTTTCCCCCGTCGCTCAGGGGATCCCGGCAGTTGAGCAGCAATTAACCCGGGGGCTAAGTGAAGCTGGCTTCCCCATTGAAGGGGGAGGGGGTCGTGAAAGGGGAGCCGCGCGACACCCCCCCCCAGGACACGGTCGTGTCGAGCGTCCAAATTTTGACCACACGACCGTGGGAGATCCCGTCCCGGTCGTAACGGTGAAAGAGGGCCACAAGCTGCATTTTCGGTGCCGTCGTAGCTCTGAACGGTCCCTAAACGAAGCCTCCCCCCCACCCTCAGGGGGCAGAGGCCAAGGGGGCCCGTCCAGCCTCCCCGTGGCTGAAGGTCCCCCCCCTCCCCGGTGTCTTTGAACAGGACTGGTACGAGAAAACTCCGCTGGGCCGGAGGAAGCTGGAGGCGGAGGAGGAGGCGGAGATGGCGGCCGAGGCCAAGGAGAAGAAGCAGAAGAAGTGACGCCCCCTTTTGGGGGGGCTGTCAATGGGGGAGGGGGCATGGGGGGCCAGTGCTGCAAAGGGCGGAGGGGCGTCCGCCTGTGTGTAACACTAAGAACGACCCCGGCCTGGTGCCTGGGACAAGGAACCCTAACCCCGCCCTTCTCCCTGGTGCTGCGGTGGCTTTGTGTGTGGGGGGGAGGGTAGCTCTTTGGGGGGGGTTCCAAAAACTCTACGGCCTCAGGGTCTCCTCGAGCCAGGGGGGGCAGGGGGGTGTCCTGGGAAGAAAAGAATTCCTCTCCGCAGGTGACACCCACCCACTGGCCTGGGGTTCCCCCTCCGGCCCTGCCCGGATTTGGGTGAAAGGGGGGGAGGGTCGTCCATTGGGAAATGGGGAGGGGGAGGCAGTCTGCTAACTCAAGGCAGAGCACGGGGTCTTTGGCTCCACTGGTAGCCCTCGATCGGGGTCACCTCCCTCCCCAGATCCGAGCAGGCGGGGCAGAGCAGATCCTGAGGGCGCGTTTGGGTGGGATGGGGGCACCGGGGAGGGAGCAGCCCTTGCGGGGAGCCCACAGACTCAATCCAGCCTCCCCACTTCCCGCCAGGGCGAAGTCTGACCCCCCCTCCACGGGGGGTTGTGTGTGGCTGGTGGGGAAGCCGCAGGACCCACTAAACCCCTACCAGGCTACGGGTGGGCAGGACCAGGGAAGGCCTGAGCTGGCTCTTCCTTGTGAGACTTGGTGGGTCTCGCAAGCAATCCCTGTCCCTTGGGGAGGGGGGCTGGGGACCCTTCACCGGAGCCCCTTCTAGCTCAGAGCCGGCCCCGAATCCAAGCAGCCCTCCCCATCGGGGGTGTCGGAAGCCTTTCTCCCCACCTGCCCGTCAGGCCCGCCGAGGGTGGAGGCCAAGGCCTCGGAAAGCTGCCCAGCCCGTACCCAAGCGTTGCCCTCCGCAGCCACCCGGCTGTGGGAAGGCGGTGTTGTGCAGCACCGTGCCAGTTTGCCCCTAGGACAAAACCCCACCGGGCACCCGGAAGGACCGAAGGCCGGCGGGCCCCAGCCTTCCCAAAAGAAGCGCCCGCTCTTGGCCCCGAGGCTGTGGATTCTGCCCCTTGCGCCAGGCGGGAGGCTCGGCTAGCCCGGCTCCTCCTCGCTGGGCCCCGTTCCCCCTCCTCAGAAACGAGAATCCGTGCCCTGGCGAGATGCCACCTTCGGGGCCCGGAGTCCTACCTTCCTGGTGGCCGTGCCTGCTCCCGGGAAGGAGCCTTCTTGCCCAGATTTTGCCCTAGCACATGGGCAGAGCACCCAGCCGGCTGCTCCCTTCTGCTCCCCTCCCGTCTGCTGCCCTTCTGCTGTTGGGGAGCCTCGTTGGGCCTGGAGCAGACCCCGGAAGTGCTGGACGGCCTGGCTAGTACATTTCTCTGCTGAAAATATTGCCTCTCTCCAAACAAGGGGGGAAAAAAGGGTAATAATAATAATAATAATAATAATAATAATAATAATAATAATAATAATAGAGTTGGAAGGGACCTTGGAGGTCATCCAGTCCAGCCCCCTGCTCAGGCAGGCAACCCTTTCAGACCAGTGGCTTTCCAGTCTCCCAAAGGGCACTGGACTCGTGTGCCTTGTGAGCATCTCCCTCTTTCGGTGGGCCTGGCGTGTTCCCGTGTCTTTATAAAGTTTTGAGGGAGGGGGGGACCATTCCCCACTGGTCTCCGTTGGGGACGGGGACTCCGTCTCATTTCACTTAGTGAATTGGATTTGGAGACGGCCAGATCCTCAGTGGCGTAACACAAAGGACAACAGATGAGGGGGAGAGAGGTTAGGCCCCCCCCCTTTCCCCCACAGGCCGGCTCTAGTCAGTCGCTCCACTCCGTAAACCATCATCCTTTTCTTTTCCAAAGGGAAGAAGACAAGCTTTATTAGCAGCCCACAGAGCAACTTCTGGTAAAGGCTCATTCAGGTGGGAGGTCCCGTGGCTGCAGGAGACCCTGCCCTTTGGAGACGAGGCTGGGGCAGCATCTGTGGGTCACTCTTAGAGGGAGCTGGGGGGGGGGGCAAAAGCAGCCTGTGGGGAAGGGTCTGGAGCAGTGGTTCTCAACCTTTTTAATGCCGCGACTCCCAACCTGTCGTAAGGCGAGGACTACCCAACCGGTCGTAAGTCAAGGACTACTCGACTGGTGCAGCACCGTTTGCAGACTGGGGCTTTTGGTGGGCTCAGCAGGGCAGAGACAGCCTGGACAATTCCTATTGGCTTTGGAAAGCCAACAGAATTAGACTCTATTCAAGAGAGTCTCTTCGATTGGCTTTCAAAAGCCAACAGAATAAAAGGGAGTAGCACAGCTAAGGAAAAGGGGGGGAAAAATGGCGGACTGCGTTTGGCGACCCCCGTGAAATGGCCGTTCGACCCCAAATGGGGTCCCGACCCACAGGTGGAGAACCGCTGGTCTGGAGGGTGGCACCAACCCTTCTGGGGGCTTTCAATCCACACCAGCCAGCCAGCATCTCAGCCCCCCCCCCCCCGGCCAGCCGCATTTCCTGGTGGGGGTATTCCTGTCTGGAGCTTTTTTTGGAGAGCCCGGGGCCCCCAGGAAAAAGAATAAGCCCCCCCCAGCCCCCCAAAGCAGCCTCTCGCCCAGAACTGTTGTTGGAGCCCTTGAAGGGAAAAAAAAGGGTGGGGGGCAAAGGCTGCGCGTTAAGACTTCGGGGCTGTGTGGATGTGCGTGTTGGCATTCTCCAGTTTCCATAGCCCCCGTGACAGTGGGAATTGCGCCCCTTTCCCCAAAAAAGAATCCGGAGACGCCGACGTCAGCTTTGTAGTCGCTTACATCAATAAATACATTTGACCTCTTGTGTGTTTGCGTCAGGCACGATAATCAGGCACCCGGGAGCATCGCGAAATGAACCCCAGACAGCACACACACACACACACAAGAGACAAAAAAGGAATGGGGGGACGGGAGAGAGAATGGAGAATCCCCCTTTACACCCACAGCAGCCAATCCCGACACAGGCTGCCTGGCCCACTCCCCAACCCATCCACCCCGGCTCTGGTGTCTTCCGGGCCCTCACGGCGCCCTTTGCCCTTCCAGCCGCTGAATCCAGCATCCCGCCAGTGCAGCAATCCTCGCCATCCCAAAAATGACACGAAACGACGCAAAGCAAATTTAAAAAGACGACAAACGCAGGCCGCAGCCGAGAGAGGCCGGACAGTTGTCAGCAGGGCCCGAAGGCCTTCCGAGTCCCGGGGGGTGGTGGGGGGCACAGCCGGGGCCCTCAAAGCCTCGGGCCGTGCCGGGTTTCTCGTCCGAGGCCCATTTGTGGGGCAGCATCCCTAGAAGGCGGAGCGACAGGAAGCAGAAGTGGCAATGGAAGATCTGGACCGCTTTGCCCCACGTGGGGCGCCTGGTCCTCGGAGGGCAAAGAGACCCACCCGCTTTCCCCACGGCAATGTGCAAACATGCCTCGGCGCCCCCCAAAGCCGGTGGAGCTGCTCGGAGAAGGCACTGGTGCTGCTGGGCCGGCCACCTTCCGGGGTGCCCATCCTCTCCACACGGAATGGCTAGTTGGGACTGTCTTTCGTGACTTCCTGGCCGCGGAAGGCCTGGGCCTTTCTCAGCCGGCGCCAGGGAAAGAGATTCCTGGTGGAGCAACGGATCCCTTTTTCTTCTGGGGAAAAGAGGCCGGATTCCTGCCCAGATGGGAGCTGGAAGGGACCTTGGAGGTCTTCTAGTCCAGCCCCCCGCTCAAGCGGGAGAACCTAGGCCATCTCAGACAAGGGACGGTCCAGCCTCTTCTTAAAAACCTCCAGGGACGGCGCGCCCATGATTTCTGGTGGCCAGCAGTTCCGTTGGCTGTTTGTCCTCCCTGTCAGGAAGTTTCTCCTTAGTTCCAGGTGGGTCCTCCATTAAAGAGGTTGCTTGAGCAAAAGATCCAATGGGAATGCTCTAGGAAAAGGTGTCCTTGACCGATGCTGGCGCTCTAGCTGAGCTCCTCGTGCTGAGCAGTGGACACGCCAGCCAGCGTGGTGGCCCAGTGGTTAGACTGCATGCAGTCTGACTCTGCCCACAGCCAGGAGTTTGATCCCGATAGGTTCAGAGTTGACTCAGCCTCCCATCCTTCCGAGGTCGGTAAAATGAGGACTTGGACGGCTGGGGGGGAAGGGGCTGACATTGGAAACCGCTCAGAGAAGGCACTGTAAAGTGGTATAAAAGTGCTGTTGCTATTGCTATTGGACCTTCCAAATAACAACAACAACAACAACAATAATAATAATAATAATAAAGTTGGAAGGGACCTTGGAGGTCATCTAGTCCAACCCCCTGCTCAGGCAGGAAACCCTATTCCATTCCGGACAAATAGCTGTCCACTAATAATAATAAAAATAAAATAATGATAATAATAAAGTTAGAAGGGACCTTGGAGGTCATCTAGTCCAACCCCCTTGCTCAGGCAGGAAAACCTACTCCATTCCGGACAAATGACTGTCCAGTAATAATAATAATATAATAATAATAATAAAATGGCTGTCCACTAATAATAATAATAATAATAATAATAAAGTTGGAAGGGACCTTGGAGATCATCTAGTCCAACCCCCTTGCTCAGGCAGGAAACTCTATTCCATTCCAGACAAATGGCTGTCCACTAATAATAATAATAATAATAATAATAATAATAATAATAATAATAAAGTTGGAAGGGACCTTAGAGGTCATCTAGTCCAACCCCCTTGCTCAGGCGGGAAACCCTATTCCATTCCAAACAAATGGCTGTCCAGTCTCTCCTTAAAAACTCCCAGTGTTGGAGCACTCACCGCTTCTGGAGGCAAGGAGTTCCGCTGGTTAATTGTCCTCTGCCACGACACCTCGGCAGCCTTCCGCTTTCCAAGCGCTTACAAACCCCTTCGGGATCGGAGTGAGAATCTTCCCAGGGCCCAATAACCGACCGTTCGTGGATGGCTGGTGTTTTGTTTTCGGGGCTGATGGGAAGGCCCTCTGCCCGTGCCCAGAAGCGCTGGGGAGATTCCCAGGCTGTCAGCTTCTCGCTCCCCGGGGCTCAAGAGAGCAAGGCCTGGCACGGACCCCAGATTGCCTTGGCACCCAAACCAAAACGGGATATATTTTGGGAAGCAGTGACCAACCGGCAGATGACTGCACGGCGGTGGCCAAGAAGAGCTATTTATAGCGGGTGCGAGGAGAGCCTTCACTTGGGGGTCGTCGTCGTGGCTGGCGGGAGGCAGCCTGTTCCTCCACGGAGGGCCGTGTCCCTGGCCCCCCCTCCACCAGGAATCCCTTCCAGGAGCTGCGGGAGGAGCCGAGGCCCGGCGGAGGGGAGGGGCCCGGGATGGCCAGGGCCCTGCAGAGCAGGAGGGGCCGGGAGGGTCCCCTGGAGTGCCGGGACCCCGTGCTGCAGAACGCCCTCTACACGGGCAACCTGGCCCAGGTGCAGCGGCATTTCTCCGGACGCTCCGCGGTGGACCTGGTCATCCAGGCCAAGAGCCAGGACCTGCGCTGGACCAGCCAGAAATGGGGTAAGGACAGGCGGAGAGGTCAAAGGGGTCTCCCCAGCGCGGTTGGGGCCGCGGGACCCCTCACCGGTGGCAAACGGGATGCTCAGGCTGAAATTCCTTCCCCCCCCCCAGGATGTGCGCCAACAGGTGCTCTGGGTCCAGGTAGCCCTGATCCGCCCACTAGGTGACCGGGAAGGGCCTGGCCAAAGCAGGAAGGGTGAGCCGGCCATTCCACGGGTCCATTGAATTATTTAAAACCGAATTTTTTTTAAAAAATGACTTCAGCGTTGGCCCTCCACCCTTCATTTCTTTCATAGGTTCCGTTCCCCCGTTTCCGCGATGTGAGCGTCCGGCCGTGGGTTTGGGCTGCGGTGGATTGTCCTAGGCCCGACGGGAGAGGAGGGGTCGTCGTCCCACTGGCTGCTTCCAGGAAGGGGAGGGGAGGGGATGGGGGGGTCGGGTGGGAGGAGGGACCTGCTCCTGTCCCCCTCAGCCCCCACAGCTGAAGTCCACAAGTCTTCAAGTGGCCAAGTGTGGGGACCTCTGCCCTCTAGAGCTGCTTCTACTGCGAGGGAATTTGGCTAGTGTTCCCCCAGAATCGGTCTTCCTGCAATCCGTGCCCCCTTGCCAGTGAGGAGTTGGGGGTCTCCCACCCACCCCCACTCTATCTTCTCTTGCTAAGGTTATACACTGTCCACACGCCTCACCCCATGGTTATCCCTCTGGGTTAATAATAATAATAATAATAATAATAATAATAATAATATAGTAATAGTAATATTATTAATAATAAAGTAATAATAGTAATAATAGCAATAGTAATATTATTATTAATAGTAATATTAATAATAAAGTAATAATAGTAATAGTAATAATAATAGTAATAATAATAAAGTAATATTAATATTAATATTAATAATAATAATAATAATAATAATAATAATAAAGTTGGAAGGGACCTGGGAGGTCATCTAGTCCAACCCCCTGTTCAGGCAGGAAACCCTATATACCATTTCAGACAAATGGCTGTCCAGTCTCTTCATAATAATAATAATAATAATAATAATAATAATAATAATAATAATAAAGTTGGAAGGGACCTGGGAGGTCATCTAGTCCAACCCCCTGCTCAGGCAGGAAACCCTATATACCATTTCAGACAAATGGCTGTCCAGTCTCTTCATAACAACAAGAATAACAACAATAATAATAAAGTTGGAAGGGACCTTGGAGGTCATCTAATCCAGCCCCCTGCTCAGGCAGGAAACCAACATACCATTTCAGATAAAAGTTTCTTAGGCAAAAGGAAGCCGAGTCCTGTGGAAAGGGGACCAAAAAGGTTCCTTGGAGGAAATGTCTCATAGGAAGAAGACAGCGGACACTCACCTGTCTGAATTGGTGTAGGTCCTCCTGCTTGAGCAGGGGGGGCTGGACTAGAAGACCTCCAAGGTCCCTTCCAGCTTCTATTCTGTTCTGTTCCATTAATTCTTATTCTATTCCATTCCATTCCATATTTTCTATTCTGTTCTGTTGTGTTCTGTTCCATTTTTCTATTCTATTCCATTCCATTTTATTCCATTCCATATTTTCTGTTCTGTTCTGTTCCGTTCCATTTTTCTATTCTATTCCATTCCATTCCATATTTTTTATTCTGTTCTGTTCCATTCCATCTTTCCTATTCTATTCCATATTTTCTATTGTTCTGTTCCGTTCTGTTCCTTTCCGTTCTATTCCATTCCATTCCATATTTTCTGTTCTGTTCTGCTCCATTCCATTTTTTTCTATTCTATTCTATTCCATTCCATATTTTCTATTCTATTCTGTTCCGTTCCATTCCATTTTTCTATTCTATTCTATTCCATTCCATATTTTCTACTGTTGTTCTGTTCTGTTCCATTCCGTTCATTTTTTCTATTCTATTCCATTCCATTCTATTCCATTCCATATTTTCTGTTCTGTTCTGTTCCGTTCCGTTCTATTCTATTCCATTCCATTCCATTGTATTCCATATTTTCTATTCTATTCTATGCTATGCTATGCTCTGCTCTGCTCTGCTCTGCTCTGCTCTGCTCCACTCCACTCTACTCCAAAGTTCTGCAGGCTCCAAAACCTCCCCATGAAGACCACCCACCCTCCCCCGTTCCTCAGCTCCTGAGTCCCTCGGAATTCGAGCTCTCCAGAGCTTTAGCCCCTGAAGACACCCCCCCCACCAGACCAGCAAGCAGGCACTTCTGTCCCCCCCCCCGGTGAGGTTCTGGGCTTCTCCAAAGAGCCCTTCCGTGGGGGACACGCACTCAGGACGCCAGGAGAGGCTGAAAGCCCATGTTGCCTTTCTCAAACCTGCTTTGTCGGGCCCGTCAGCTCCCGGCGTCGCTTCGGTTGAACCAGGAAAAAAAAAATAGGGCAGCCCTGAACGCGCCAGCCTTAAGGCCTCTGGCCGGCCGGGCGCGGATCCGGGGGGGGGGGGAGGCTGTGGCCGGACATACACACACACACACACACAGAGAGAGACAGACAGACAGACAGACAGACAGACGAACGATCTTCCCTCCGCCCATGGAGCCCATCGCGGCGCGCACAGCGCGGGGAGCGGCCCTCGTTTTTTGGCAGGCGCTGGTGACGGGCGACGGCTGCGCCCTCCTCGGCTGCCTGGCCGAGCCCGGGAGCGGCCTGGGGGCCAACTCCGTCTTCGACATCAGCGACTCGGACGAGTGGCGCCAGTACCGCTCCAACGCCCGCCAGCTCAGTGCGCCCGGGGGACGAGAGAGAGCGGAGCGCGGGCCGGCCAGGCCAGCGGTCCCCAACCTGTCCGCCTTCTGCGGACCGTTAGGACGGGAGAAGGGAGCTGTAATGGGCCGCGTCCCGGGGGGTGGTGGTGTTGGGGACCCCTCGCTAGGCGGATCCAGAGCGAGGCTGTGGAGGCGGCGGTGGCGGCCTACCTCTCCAAGACCCTTCTCCCTCTCCGTGGGCAGGGGAAGGGGGACCCCCGGCTCGACCCCCCGGCTTTCCCCGTCCGGGGCGGCTGATCCACCCCCCCCCCCGCCGTTGTCTCCCCGCAGGGCTGTGGTCCCTGACCTACGAGCAGGAGCTGACCACGCCGCTCCACATCACGGCCAGCCGCGGCTACCTGGACTGCTTGCGCCACCTGCTGCTGCGCGGGGCCGAGGTGGACCTGGCGCCCGGCGGACAGACGGCCCTGCACGCGGCTTGCGCCGCCGGCGCCGCCGACTGCGTCCGCCTGCTGCTCTCCTTCGGCGCCGACCCGGCGGCCGTCTCGGACGGCGGCTTCCAGCCGCTCCACCTCTGCCGGAGCCCCGGCTCGAGCGAGTGAGTAGCTCCCGAGAAGGTTTGGGGTCTTTCCACCCCGCGTGGGTCTCCCCCCCCCCTTTGGGCTGGTTGACTTCCAAGAGCCAGGAAACGGAGACGGGAGGAGCCCCCCCCCAATAACGGGGCAGTCGGGAGGCCGCGGAAGCCAGAGGCCGGTCCACTGGATCCCGCCCAATCCCGGGCTTCTTCCAGGTGCATGGGCGGCCAACTGCGAAGGGGTGTCGGAACCCGCCAATTCTGTACCCCGGGCTGGGGCGTCTCCTCCACCCGCTCAGCCTTGAGCCTCGCCCGCCCTGACCCCTTCCAGGTGGGACTCCCCTAGTTTTCCTTTCCCGAGAGTAGGAACAACCAACCCCCCCCCACTCCCCCCGCCACCCCATCCAAAGGGAAAGGCGGGCGGTGGTTGGACGTGTTTTAGCCCAAGAATCGCTTAAGGCCGCGATTCCAGCTGGGACTCGGTTTCATGGGAAAAGAAGGGTTTGGGCGCGCGGATTGGGGTGGGGACACGAGGTGGGGCCGCTGCAGGAAAGGCCGTTGGCAACCGGCCAATGGGCGCACGGCCGCCTTTTCAGCTGGGGGGGGGGGAAGAGAAAGGCCGTCTAGGACGGTGGTGGCGAACCTTTTAGAGGCCGAGTGCCCAAACTGCAACCCAAATCCCACTTATGTATGGCCAAACCCCCCCCCCCGTGGCCCGCTGGCTATGGCTACGGTGGTCGTGGCAGATGGGTGGGCTTGATCACCTGGATGTTACTCATGGGGAGGGACGCCTGTGGGGGCCGGGCAGGGTTGGGGGAGATCCGGGGGGGGGTCTCTGGTGGGTGGGACGATGGGCAGGGGCTCGTCCTGCGGGGTGAGGCGAGGCAGGGGCCGGGGCGGCTGCTGGCTGACACCATCGCCCCCCCACACACACACACAGAGGCTGGCGCATGGGTGCTGAGAAGCACCCGGCCACGCGGGACCTCGACCAGTTAGCGGGGGGGGGGGCTGGTTGAAGAAGGGACAGTTGGCATCTCCGGGGCATGGCGCCCGCTCCCACGGAGTGCCGCCTCTGAGCGCCATAGGTTCACCACCACGGCTCTAGGAGGTTGTGGGGGGGGGCGGGCAAAATGGGGAGGGCGGTGTCGTCTGCCCCCTTTGGAAGAGCAGGAAAGGAAAGGGTTAGGGTTAGGGGTTAGGGGGGTGCACAAGACAGACCCGGCGGCCTCAGCCCCGCTTTCCTCTCCGTTCCCAGGTGCGCTCGCCTCCTGCTCAGCCACGGGGCTCCGGTGAACGGCGCGTCGGAGGAGGAAGGGGACACCCCGCTGCACGTGGCGGCCCGGCTGGGCCTGCCGGAGCTGGTGGGCCTCTTCCTGCAGCACGGGGCCGACCTGGAGGCCACCAACGGCGAGGGGGAGACCCCGCTGATCGCCGCCTGCAGCCCGGCGCACTCCGCCCGGGCCGCGGAGGCGCACTTCGACGTGTGTCGGCAGCTGGTGGAGGCCGGCGCCCGGGTGAACGCCGCCGACCGCGACCGGCAGCGGCCCCTGCACCAGGCCTCCAAGAACGCCAACGCCCGCGTCGTGGCGCTACTCCTGGCCCGCGGCGCCAACGTCAACATCATGAGCTACAGCGGCAACACGGCGCTCCACAACGCCCTCCAGGTGGCGGCCTACCGGCTGGAGCACCAGCCCGAGCTGACCGTGCGCCACTTGCTGAACCACGGCGCGGTGCGCGTCTGGCCCGGGGCTCTGCTCAAGGTGCCGAGGGGGCGCTGGGCTCCATCCAAAGGGTCCCGGGGCCAAGGGCGCGCGGTCTCCCCTCGCCCCACCTAAGGCCGCGAGGCGGGCGGGGGGGGGGAAGGAGGTGGCTGGAGCCGACCGGACTGCACGTGCTCTGGGGAGGGGAGGGCCTGTGGATCGCCCGCCAAAAGCAGCGCCGGTTTCCTCGTGTGTGTGTGTGTGTGTGTGTGTGTGTGTGTGTGATGACGAGGCTGCTGCATTGAACGGCGCAACCCGCCTCGTTTTGGCGCAGAGGCAGATAAGCCGAGCGGGATTGGCGCAGGGCAATCCAGAGGCGCCCGCGGGCCTACCGCCAAACCCTCCCGGCCTTCGGGATCCTAGTACTTTGGGATTTGGGTCGCTCTCCCCTCTGGGGGGGGTGGGTGGGGGGGGTTTTGTGGATAGCCTGAATATGCAGCCGTGGCCGCGCCGTTTAAGTCCGAAGGAAAGGTGGGGGCGCGCCGCGGGGCTGCGCGCAACGCGCACCCCACCCTGGCCTAACCGGACTCGGATCCCCGGGTTTGTTCGGCCTGGTGTTCAAGGGAGAGGCGGGGTGGGAGAGGGCAGGGCTCCAAAGGGGCGGGGGGGGCAGGTGGGTAGCCCGGGGACGTTTAAAAAGACCCGGAGGTCGAAGTTAATTCTGGCTCGTTGCGCTGCCCTCCGCTGCGCCCTGATTGCAGTGGATACGAGCTGCGGCGCTCGTCCCGAGGGCAGGTCGGGGTGGTGGTGAAAGGCGGGGCTGGTGGATGTCCCAGGACAGCGAAGCGGTTCACACCACCGCGCCGGGCGGTGGCCTGGGACACTTCGGCCTGAAACGGGCCACTTGCGCGCTTTCCCACGACCTCATCCCCCTCTTCACGCCGGGACCCTTCCAAGGGGGGGGGGATTCGGGGCCTGCGCTCAACAGTAACAGCCTCCCCCCAACCCACTTTCTTCCTGCCCTCCCCCCACCTCCGACCTCCACAGGTGCTGCGCCACTGCTGCGCTTCTCCCCGCACGGTCGAGACCCTGCTCAACTGCTACGCGCGTGTGCCGGTGACGGAGGCCTGGCAGCAGGCGGTCCCCGAAGAGCTGGTGCGGGTGAGTCGGGGGACAGTCCGAGGCACGGGGCGGCCCCGGGGAGGGGGGCTGCTTCCTCCCCCCCGTTCTCACCGCCTCCGCTTCTTCCTTCTCTGCAGCAGCACCCCGGCTTCTTCCGCTCCCTCTTCGCCCTGGGCCAGGGCCCGCGCAGCTTGCAGCACCTGGCCCGCTGCGCCCTCCGCAGTTGCCTGGAAGGCCGCCTCCTCCAGGCCCTGCCCCACCTCCGGCTGCCCCCCGCCTTGGAACAGTTCGTGCTGCTTCGCTTCGAGGACCTGCTTTACTAGCCCCCCCCCGCCTCCCCGGGGCAGGGGCTATCTGGAATCCCAGCCGAGCGAAGCGCCCTTCAGCCGGGCCCGACAGAGACGGCGGGAGAGCCCAGGACGCTTCCAGCACTGGCTCGGAGCGCCGGGACGGCCGGACCACCCCCCTCCCACCGGACAGCGCGGGGAGGGAGGATCGGAACCGACCCGCCCTTGCCGGCGGGAAGCTCCCGGAGGCGAGCGAGGCTGGAGAAAGATCCAGAGATCTGCCAGAGGAAAAAAAAGGCCGGGGTTGCGCCCGCTTCCCGGGAGCGGAGAGACTGGGGGAGCCCCCCCCCCCACGGCGGCTTTAGGGCTCCGGGGCTCCCGAACTTATCGCCCTGGCCCGCCCCGGCTGCATTCCTGGCTGGAGAGCACTTGGGGGGGGGCACTGGACCCGAGAGTGACTTGAGCCTCCCCACCTCCCCGTCTGAGCCCCCAAACCGACGTGGGAATCCCTGGAAAGGTGGAAAGCAAACGGGCAGAGACTCCGTCCCGCAGGCCCGGAGAAACAACACTCCCCCCCCCCGCCGTCGCCTTTCTCTCGCCCGGAAAGAGATCCGGGCTGTTTTGTAGATTGCCCGGGTGCGTAATAAAGACGCTACTGCTGCTGCTCCTCCGCTGTGCGTGGCTGTGCCTGGGGGGCCTCTCCTCCTCCTCCGCGATCTTGGGAAAGGCAGCGGAGGACGGACCGTCGCCGGAAGAGTCAGCTTGCCTGAAACGGGAGAGGTTCCCCTGCTGGAGCCAGGGGTTGGACTGGATGACCTCCGAGGTGCCTTCCAGCTCTTCTTCTACGATTCTGTAAGGGTCTCCTGCTCGAGCAGCAAGGGGTTGGACTGGATGACCTCCGAGGTCCCTTCCAGCTCTTCTACGATTCTGTAAGGGTCTCCTGCTCGAGCAGCAAGGGGTTGGACTGGATGACCTCCGAGGTCCTTTCCAGCTCTATTCTGATTGATTGATTGAAATGGTCTAGGTTGAACATGGGGCTGGACTAGATGACCTCCGAGGTCACTTCCAACTCTTCTTCTATGATTCTGTAAGGGTCCGCTGCTTGAGCAGCAAGGGGTTGGGCTAGATGACCTCCAAGGTCCCTTCCACCTCCATTCTGATTGATTGATTGAAATGGTCTAGGATCTCCGGCTTGAGCAGGGAGCTGGACTAGATGACCTCAGGCCCCTTCCAGCTCCATTCTGATTGATTGATTGATTGAAATGGTCTAGGGTCTCCTGCTCGAGCAGGGGGCTGGACTAGATGACCTCCGAGGTCCCTTCCAGCTCTATTCTGATTGATTGATTGATTGAAATGGCCTAGGGTCTCCTGCTCGAGCAGGGGGCTGGACTAGATGACCTCAGAGGTCCCTTCCAACTCTTCTTCTACGATTCTGTAAGGGTCTCCTGCTCAAGCAGCAAGGGGTTGGACTAGATGACCTCCGAGGTCCCTTCCAGCTCTATTCTGATTGATTGATTGATTGAAATGGTCTAGGTCTCCTGCTCGAGCAGTGGGCTGGATTAGATGACCTCCGAGATCCCTTCCAGCTGTTCTACGATTCTGTAAGGGTCTCCTGCTCCAGCAGCAAGGGGTTGGACTAGATGACCTCCGAGATCCCTTCCAGCTCTATTCTGATTGATTGATTGATTGATTGATTGATTGATTGAAATGGTCTAGGGCAGGGGTAGGCAACCTTGGCTCTTTTATGACTCGTGGACTTCAATTCCCAGAATTCCTGAGCCAGCTGTGCTGGCTCAGGAATTCTGGGAGTTGAAGTCCACGAGTCATAAAAGAGCCAAGGTTGCCTACCTCTGGTCTAGGGTCTCCTGCTCGAGCAGGGGGCTGGACTAGATGACCTCCGAGGTCCCTTCCAGCTTTAATTCTAAGTCCCAAGGGAGAGGAGCCCGGCAGTGCCCGATGAGTGGGCAGATGGCCAGAAGCGGACTAGCTAGCTAAGGCCCCGTGTGGCGCTCCCACCGGTTACCGCCAGGCGGCGCGGCGGACACTTCGAGCCCCAGACCAAGGGCAGCGCCGGAGCAAAGGACTGGCGAGGCGAGGGGAGGGGGGGGGTCGTCGTGGCGTGATGGGGGGGGGGCGGCCTGTTGCTCGGCTTGGGAAACTTTAAGTGGAGAGGAACTGCATCCCTGAGGGAATCCCAGGTCCTGGGGGGGGGGCTGAGGGGGGGTTGTCCTTGGAGGGCTAAAGTCCTGGCAGAGTCCATTGGATGCCCTGGCTGGGTGGGAAACCACACGAGGGGGGGGGCTTCCCCTCTCCTACGCTTCCACACACCCCCTCCCCCGCAGCCTGTGCCAACCCCCTTGCGGTCCACATCCCGGAGCAAAGGCAGTCCGCCCACCCCTCTCCGGAGCGCCGGGAGGGGGTCCCCGGGAGAGGCACTGCGCGCAACAGGTCGCCGGCCAGGCGAGCGGTTTGCGCCCCCCCTTTCCTCCCTCCCTCTCGCTCGCCCCCTCACGGCTCTGGCCGCCCCCAGGGGGGGCAGGGGGGGCAGGTGACCCCCCACTTCCCACCCTGAGACGAGGGGCGCCAGGCGGCCCCCTCCCCTTCTCCCACCGGCTGCGCAAGAAGGGACCCCCCCAAAAGGATTTTAACAAAAAAAAAGTCTGTTGTGTGTGTTTGCGTGTGTGAGTGTGAGTGTCAGGCCAGCAGCCCTCCCCCTCCCGGTTCTCCCGGGAAGAGCTCAGCCCTGGCACGGGAAAGCCGTGCCACCCCCGAAGCAGCCACCGTGCCACCCCGGAGTGCCGAGGGGAGCAGAGAAGGGCAGCCTGGCACCCCCCGAGGCGACGGCAAGCGCGGGGACCCGATCCGTTCCCCCCTCCTCCGGGAGTCGCTGGGGCCGAGCCCGGGGAGCGCGGGGCGGGGTCCATGGGTGGGAGACTCCCCTGCGACCCCCCCCACTCCTCCGCCTCCCCACCCACCCACCCCCGCACGGGGGCGGGGGGGGGCAGCTGGTCCCGCCCCAGCCGCACAAAAGGCGCTCCTTGTGCGCGCCCGGCCGGTAATTGGCACTCATCAATCACCGGTCATAATGGCTGATGAGGCGGGAGGGGGCGGCCCTTCCCAGGGGGGAGGGGGCGCCCGGCCGCTCCAGTGGGAACCCGCCGCTGCCTGCTTGCCTGGCCGCGGGGCGGGGAGGCTTCTGGGGGGAACTCAAGCGGAATTTGAGGAAGATGGATGAGAGCGGCGGAGGCAGGGCGACACCCCTTCCCCCTCCCCTGCTATTGCCTTCTCCTCCTCCTCCTCCTCCTCCTCCTCCTCCTCCTGCTCCTCCCTCCCTCCCTCCCTCCTCGCCCGCCCGCCCTCTCTCGGCAGACAGCGCCAGCCCAGCGCCACGGCGAGGCGTCGGCGAGGCAGCTCCGTCGAAGATCTTCCCCCCACCGCCACCCCCGGCCAGGCTTTGGAAAGGGGGCCGCGCTGCTTCCGCCGGAGCGGGGGCTCCGACGGACTCTGGCGGGCGGGCGGGCGGGCGGGGGGTGGCCCCAGCCGGGCCGGTAAGTGCCGGCGGGGTCGGGCCCCGCCGCCGCCATGCAGAGGCCAAGTAGCGGCCAGGGCGCCGCCTTCTCCATCGACTCGCTGATCGGCCACTCGCCGCCCGCCCCGCGCTCCGGCCCGCTGCTCTACACCGGCTACCCCATGTTCATGCCTTACCGGCCGCTGGTCCTGCCCCACGGGCCGCTCCAAGCCGCCAGCGGGCTCCCCCCGCTGGCCCCGCTGGCTTCCTTCGCCGGCCGCCTCGGCAACTCCTTCTGCGCCGGCCTGGGCCAAGCCGTCCCGTCCATGGTGGCCCTGACCACCGCCTTGCCCAGCTTCGGAGAGGCGCCGGACGGCTTCTACCCGCCCCAGGAGCTGCCGGGGGCCGGGCGGAGCAGCGCCGAGCCCCCCGGTCGCCGTCGCGGCGGGGCCGAAGCGCTGGAGAGCGGCGACCTCTCTCCGGTTCGGGACAAAGGAGCGCCGGAGCCACCGCTGCACTTCGCGGAGAACTTTCCCGGCTTGGCAGGTGGGTCTCTCCCGCGACCGGTGGGTGGGTGGGCTGTGGGGAGGAAGCGTCGGGAACGGACCCCCCCCCGGCTGCTGACAGGAGCGAGAACTTTCCTCGCCGTGGGAAAGTTTGCTGACCCAGAAGGAGCGTTGGGGGGAGGTCAAGGCGGCGGTGGGAACCGAACCAGCCTCCAAGGGGTGCGCGGTGAAGCAAGCGGCGACCCTCACGGTGGCCGCGGTCCCTTCTCTCTTCCCCCCCCCCCCGGGCCAGCGGGCGCCCTGCACCCCCAAACCTCGCCCTCCTCCCGCGCCTCGTTCCTGAGCGCCCGGTGCCCCCACGGGGATCGGTCCAGTCCCGCAGCCCCCCGCGCCGGCGGGCTCAGCTGTCGGGGCAAAGGGCGCTTCCCTCTCGGAGGACACGCGGTCGTCTGGATGAGTCTCTTCCGGCTCCGCGCCTCCCCGCTGCAGCTTGTCCGGAGAGCGCAAGGACCTTTCTCCGGACACGGCGCGCTCTGGTGGGCCGGCGGGTCGGGGGGGGGCTGCAGCGTCCGGAAAGCCCCCCCCCGGGCAGGAGGGGACGGAGCTGTCCCTGGTCCCGCGGAGCCGCCTCTTCCCCACGCGCGACCCGTGGGAACCGGAGCCGCCTCGCCACCTTCCCCGCTCCGGGGAAGCGTACCGGTGCTCGGATTCCAGCAGGTCCGTCCCGGCCTCGGCAGGAAAAAAAGGGGGGGGCGCCCCGGAGACTGTTGGGGGGGGGTTCCGACCGCGGGACGGGACGCCTGCGGCCGAGGGTCCGGTTCTCGCGGAAAGAACGGCTCGGGCGGGTCGGCCCGGGGCCCAGACCCAGCCGGGAGCCTCTTTCCACCGTGGCGGAGGGTCCGGAGGGGGGTCTGCGAAGTCCGTGGGGAGGGGGGAGGTTGTAGCTAACAGGGGCCGAAACGCACGCGGCGCGCGCGGGGGGGGGGTAAACTTACTCCCGAGTTACTCCCGTTACGGCATCCGGGGGAGTGGGGTTACACTCCGGATCGGAGTCGGTTTTGACGCCGAAGAAGGGAATGGGGGGCAACCCCCGTGGCGGCCGACCGCCTGGTTTGGGGGGGCAAGGATGCCACCCCTTTGCTGCCCCCCCCGCACGCCTAACACGGAGCAGTGTGTGTGTGTGTGTGTGTGTGTGTGTGTGTGTATGGACATTTAACGATCACTAAATCAAGGGAGGATGATGAAGAAGAAGAACGTCCCAATCTTGGAATTTCTATTCCCACCCCCCCTTTGGGGGGTCTTGGGGGGCCCCCGCTTCCTGCCCCTCAGCAGCCAGCCCTGCAAGGCAGCCCCCTCCCCAAGTCCCAGTCCTGGCATGGCCTGGAGACCTCCGGGAGAAGCAGCCCCGACTCTAAAGGCTGCCCCTCCCCCACAGCTCTTGGGGGGGCCCTGCGGTGAGCGGACGGCCCCCCCTCCGCCGTGGAGGGATCCCAAGAGCCCCGGGAGGACCGCGGGATCCGATTGGAGAAGGGAGCGTCCAGGGATCCTTCGGGGCGAGGGGCAGAGGGCGCTGCCACGCAGGCTTCTAGGATGGAAACTGGCGCTTCTCCAGGGAATCCCATCCCGGAAGGCTTGGGACCACAGCCTCCGTCATCCCCGTCCCTAATCCGGCTCGGCTTGCTAAGAAAGGGCGCTGACTGTCCGCCCCGCCGGCAGCCTCAGCCCATCTCCGTCGCCGGCAGCCCCGCCGCCCGCAGAAGCGGCGGCTGGCCCGGCGCTGCGCGGGATCCCCTGCTGCCTGTGGATCGCGTCTGGGTTTGGCGACGGCGCTGCCTCCTCCTTCCCGGGGCGCTTGCCCGCCAAGGCCCCGGAGGCGGCGCCCGGTTGGATGGCTGGTTCCGAGCGCCGCGCCCCGTCGGTGGGCGATGACCGCCGGCTAGACGGGAAGCTGATATCCCATCAAACGGAATTAAGGACAATCAAAGGCAATCAAAGCTACGTGCGGCTGGTGGCAGGAGCCCTTGAGGTAGAGGAAGCGTCCTCCCCTCGCCGACGCGGCAGACCACCTCGCCCGCTTTCCCCTCGCGTCGGCTGCGCTTCTTCGAGCCGGCCAGAAAGACCCTCTGCACACGCCCAGAGGCCCTGGGGCCTCGGCTCACGCCCGCCCTCGCTGCTTCGCCCTTTCCGCGGGAGCGGCCGCGGGGGTCAGGAGGGCTGCGCTGCAAAGGAGGGTGGCAGAGGCCAGGCCTCCCCCCCTCTCCCCGCGCAGCGCGCCTCGGTGCCTTTTCTCGGGAGCCTCCCCCCAAGACACCCCCCCCCGAAGCCCTGTCAAGACTAGGGGGGGAAGGGGGTGTCCATCAACAGGACGGGAGGGCTTCAGAAAGCGCGGCGGGCGGGGGGAGAAGGAGCGAGCGCCGCCTCGGAAAACGGCCGAAGGAGCGGCGCCTCGTCCGGGTAAGAAATTCAGCCCGGCGGACGGCAGCCCCCGAAGCAGGACGGCAGCCGGAAAGAAAGAACACCCCTTCTCGGGCCGGCCGAAGGCGCCAAGTCCGGCCCTCTTCCTCTTCCTCCGCCTCCGCAGGGCGCTTCGGCCCCGCCGCGCAAGAGGCTGCCCGCAGCTGCTGCCCTTTCCCGGCCTAGACCAGGTGGGCCAAAGGCTCGCGGAGACGCTGCGTCTGCCCTGCCCGAGCGCCAAGAAGCGGTCCCGCCCGAGGCGCGCGCGCGTGTGTGCGTGTGTGCGTGTGTGTGATTCCGGGGTGTGTGTGTGTGTGTGTGTGTGTGTGTGTGTGTGTGTGTGTGTTGGGCCGCCTCTAGCCCGTCCGGACCCTGAGCAAAAACCCCCACCAGAGGGAGGGAGGGAGGGAGAGAGAGATGGAGGGAGGGAGGGAGGGAGCGGGTAGGCCGTGGCTTCCGCTGCTGCCGGTTGGGGAAAGCAGGCGGGCCGGTGGGGGGCAGCCGGTGGGCCCGGGAGGAGTAACCCAGGTCTGATGCCTTTCTTCCTCCCCCCTCTCCCCCTCCCTGCCTCCCTCATTCTCTCTCCGTCCCTCTGTCCCTCCCTTTCTCCCTCTCCTTCCCTCCTCCTCTCTGCCTCCTTTCTCTCTCCCTCTCTCCATCCCTCTCTCCCTGTCCCTGTCTCCTTCCCTCCTTCTCTCCATCCCTCTCTCTGCCTCCTTTCTCTCTCTCCCTCTCTCTACCTCCCTCTCTCCCTGTCCGTCTCCTTCCCTCCTCTCTCTCCATCCCTCTCTCTCTCTGCCTCCTTTCTCTCCCTCCCTCCCTCTCCCTCCCTCCCTCTGTCCCTGTCTCCTTCCCTCCTTCTCTCTCCATCCCTCTCTCTCTGCCTCCTTTTTCTCTCTCTCTCTCCCTCCATCCCTCTCTCCCTGTCCCTATCTCCTTCCCTCCTTCTCTCTCCATCCCTCTCTCTGCCTCCTTTCTCTCTCTCTCTCTCCTTCCCTCTCTCCCTGTCCCTGTCTCCTTCCCTCCTTCTCTCTCTCCATCTCTCTCTCTCTCTGCTTCCTTTTCTCTCTATCCTTCCCTCTCTCCCTGTCCCTGTCTCCTTCCCTCCTTCTCTCCCTCCCTCCCTCTCTCTCTCCCTGCCTCCCTCCTTCTCTCCCTCTGCCCCTGTCTCCTTCCCTTTCTCTCTCTCCATCTCTTCCCTGTCTCCTTTCTCTCCTCTCCCTCCCTCTCCCTCCCTGTCTCCCTTCTTTCTTTCCCTCCTTCACTCCCTCCCTCTCCCCTCCCTCCCTCTCTTCTTCCTTCTCTCCCTCCCTCCGTCTCCCTCCTTCCTCCTCTCTCCCCTCCCTCTTTCTGCCTCCCTCCCTCCTCCTCTCCCTCTCCCCTCTTCCTTCCTTTCTCTCTCTCTTCTTGATTCCTCCCTCTCTCCCTCTCCCTCTCTCCTCCCTCCTTCTCTCCCCCCCTCCCCAGGCGGCGGCAAGGGCGCTTACAGCTCGGACGAGGAGGCGGCGGCGGCGGCGGCGGACGAGCGGCCGGGCGAGGCGGGCTGCGGCAGCGAGCGGGAGGAGGCGAGCTCGGCCGAGGCGGACAGCGACGACGAGCCTTTCCCGGAGGCTCCCGGCGGCGCGGCGGGGACGGGGGCCACGGGCAAGGCCAAGCGGGGCGCGGGCCAGCAGGCGGCGGCGGCGATGCCTCCCCCCGGGGCCGGGCCGGCCGCCCCCTCCTCCTCCTCTTCCTCCTCTTCCTCCTCCTCGTCGTCGTCCGGGCCGGGCAAGAGCCGGCGGCGGCGCACGGCCTTCACCAGCGAGCAGCTGCTGGAGCTGGAGAAGGAGTTCCACTGCAAGAAGTACCTGAGCCTGACGGAGCGCTCGCAGATCGCGCACGCCCTCAAGCTGAGCGAGGTGCAGGTCAAGATCTGGTTCCAGAACCGGCGGGCCAAGTGGAAGCGCATCAAGGCCGGCAACGTCAGCGGCCGCTCCGGCGAGCCGGTCCGGAACCCCAAGATCGTCGTGCCCATCCCGGTCCACGTCAACCGCTTCGCCGTCCGCAGCCAGCACCAGCAGCTCGAGCAGGCCCAGCGGCCCTGAGGAGGAGGCCCCCCCCCCGCCGCTGTACAGCCCCCCCCTACACTTATTTATTCGTGTAAAGCCTGTACATAAGGGGCGCCCCCTCCCCCTCCCCCCTCCTGTACATAAGCCCCCCGTGTCCCTCCCTTTTGTACAGATGACCCCCCCAATGTCCCCTCCCCTCCCTTCTGTACATAAGCCCCCCACCGACCGTCCCCTTCCTTTTGTACATAAGACCCCCCCAATGTCCCTCCCTCCCCCTCCCTTTTGTACATGACACCGCCCAATGTCCCCCTCCCCCTACATAAGCCCCTCCCGTCCCTTCCCCTCCCTTTTGTACATAAGCCCCCCCATGTCCCTCCTTCCCCCTCCCTTTTGTACATAAGCCACCCCAATGTCCCTCCCCCTCCCTTTTGTACATAAGCCCCCCAATGTCCCTCCCTCCCCCTCCCTTTTGTACATAAGCCCCCCAATGTCCCTCCCCTTTTGTACATAAGCCCCCCAATGTCCCTCCCTCCCCCTCCCTTTTGTACATAACCCCAATGTCCCTCCCTTCCCTTTTGTACATAAGCCCCCCAATGTCCCTCCCCCTCCCTTTTGTACATAAGCCCCCCCAATGTCCCTCCCTCCCCCTCCCTTTTGTACATAAGCCCCCCAATGTCCCTCCCCTTTTGTACATAAGCCCCCCAATGTCCCTCCCTCCCCCTCCCTTTTGTACATAACCCCAATGTCCCTCCCTCCCCTTTTGTACATAAGCCCCCCCAATGTCCCTCCCTCTCCCTGCGCCCCCCCGTTATCTGTTCCGTCCAGTGCGTTGACCAATAAATCTATTTTATATGGACCGGCTCTACTCCCCCTAGTGGTCGACTCCCCCCAGTGGGCAGGGGGGAGACGGGGAGGGAACGTCCACCCGGACCGGGGCTGCCCCACGGAGGGGGGGTCTCCCGCCAACCCCACCGGGTGAGGGGCTGCCCCACGGATCTTGGGCGCCTGCCACCCCGCCCTGTGGAACTTGGTTCCTGCCACCCCGCCCCACAGATCATGGGCACCTGTCACCCCTCCCCATGGATTTTGGGCACCTGCCACCCTGCCCCATGGATCTTTGGCGCCTGCCAACCCGCTTTTTCTGACTGGCCAGGGGTAAAAGGCTGCCACCCCACTCTCCCCACCCGCTGATTTTTTTCCAAAGGGCCAGTCGGGAAGCGTGCCTGTCCCCCCCCCCCAAGGAGGCTCCCATCTGGATCTCTTCAACTCTCTCTCCGAAGCTCCCGCAGCTCCTAGCCCCCTTCTTCGTTCCCCCACCTCAGGCCCAAGTGAGACCCTCTGGATAGGGCAGATTTGCTCAGCAGCCCTAAGCTGGGGGTCTGCGGAGGCCCTCCCCCTCGCTTCAGGTCTCAGAGGAAGGGCGTGATGGGAGAGGAGAAGCAGCTGTCCCCCAGCCCCACAAGGCTCCTGGATTCTTGGGTCCCTGGCTGTGGGCCCCTCCCTTTGCGCCCCCCATCACAAAAGCGACTGCAGAGGTCTGGGGGGGGGCAGTTCCTTTATTTCGCAGCTTCTCTGCTGTGGGGGAAAAAAAAAAAAACAAAAAACCCGACATTCGCTCGCACTTGCACGCTTGCCGAGGGACACAAACAAACGGGGCAAAACAAAACAAAAAAACCCATATTTACAGAACTGTCATATAAATATTTCCAATGTACACTTTATACACAAGTGACTTGAAACCGGGGTGGGGTGGGGGGAGGGGCAGGAGGTCTCAGGCAGCATCGAAACCGCGCTTCCCCCCCCCGTTTCTGCCCCCCCCTCCCCGGAGTCCTCACACCAGGGGCTGAGGAATTTGCAGCAGGCCTTGGGAGAAGGAGAAAAGGCGGCGAGGGAGAGAGAAACGGGTGGCGGGCTGGAGGAAGGAAACAAGGGGGCTCTCCTGCCCAGCACCCCCAACGGAGTCCACGTGCCCTTTCTCTTCGGGGGGCGGGGCGGGCGCAGAAGGGTACCCCACCCCCTCTTAAGAAGTCTAGTCTCTTTGGGCCTCCAAAGGCGGGCGAGGAGCATGCGGGAGGGCGCTGCCGTGCTCTGCCGTGGGTAGCGGGAGGGACGGACGCCGCCGACGTCTTAGCCCGGGCAGCCCGGCTCGGACAGCGGCGTGCCGGAGGCGTTGTTGTTGATGTTCCGGCGCGGCAGGCTCGGGGTGAGGCTGCCCGCCGGGGCGTCGCCCGGGCAGCCGTGCTGCAACAGCATCTCCACGCACTCTTGGCTGCCAGCCCGGCGGGCGTAGCCCAGGGGGGTCAGGCCGCGAGCATCCCGGCTCTTCACGTCCACGCCGTACTGCAGGGAGGGAAGGAGAACACACCGAGCTCAGGGGATGGTGGTGGTACTGTGTGTGTGTGTGTGTGTGTAGGGAAGACTTTTGCAGGCGGGAGAGGGCCGGGCGTGTGGGTGTGTGTGGGTGTGTCTGCTTACAGCTCAGGGGTGGTGGTGGTCCTCTGTGTGTGTGTGTGTGTGTGTGTGTGTAGGGAAGACTTTTGCAGGCGGGAGAGGGCCCGGCGTGTGTGTGTGTGTGTGTGTGTGTGTGTGGATGTGTCTGCTTACAGCTCAGGGGTGGTGGTGGTCCTGTGTGTGTGTGTGTGTGTGTGGGGAGGGAAGACTTTTGCAGGCGGGAGAGGCTCTCCCGGCGTGTGGGGGTGTGTGTGTGTCCGCTTACCCAGATGAGCAGCTGGGTGAAGACCACGTTGGCCATGGCGCAGGAGAGGTGCAGCGCCGTCCGCCCGTCCCCGTCGCCGTAGGTCTCGTTCACCTCCTCCTTGGAGCCGTGGGCCAGCAGCAGCACCACCGTCCGCAGGTCGTCCTCCACCACCGCCCGCAGCAGCTGCTGGCCCAGGGGCACGTCGGAGTGGGGCAGGGGGGCCAGGAACAGCTTCTGCTCGTACTTGGCCCGGATCCAGCGTTCCTTCTCCTGCCTGCGGAGGAAAAAAGAGAGGGCGGGAGGGAGGGACGGGCTGTCGGGGGGGGCCTTGGGGAGGCGCCCTCGCCCGGAGACACCCCGCTATCTGGACTCCCCAGCTGGAAAGGCCGGGCTGGAGGAGACGGCCACCGCAGCGCTATCGCCGCTGCCATCTCCCGCACACACACAAAAGGGGGGGGGCAATGGATGCGGCCGGCACCCGCTATCTAGCCTCCTATTCTATCCATCTGCGTCCCGACTGAGCATGCTCAGCTGCCTGACCCCGAGACCGCCGCTGATACGGCCGTGGCAGAATGGGGCTCTTGTCTGGGTGTCCGGATGAGTGAGTGACAGGCCCGGCAAAGACAAGGCGGCGGGACATCCCTTGGGGGGCGCAGCTTAACCCTTTCTTCCCTAGCCCGGGCAGCCCCCAGCTGCTGCCTCCTCCTCCTCAGAGCTGGGGGGGGCACGGACTCGGAGCAAAGGAATGTCCCCCCCCCGTTCCTCCCAGGGACCGGTGGTCGGGAGAAGATTTAGCCCCCTCCACCCCATAGGTGGATACAAGAAGGGAACAAGCTGGGCGGGGACCCCTTCTAACCCATTTCTAGGGGGTGGGTGGGTGGGAGCCATGCAGGTTTCACCAGAGAGGGCCCAGGAGTGTACTCCAAAAGGCGGTGGCAAGGACAGCCCCCTCCCCCTCTTTTTGGGAGCCTCCTCCGGGGTCTCAGCTGAAAGGGGTCCGAGGGGGACACACGGATGGAGGGCAGAACGGGGGGTGGGGGAGTCATGCCTGACTCCTCCTGGCCCAGCACAGCCCCCCAACTACCTTCAGAATAATCCCCTGCCCCCCCTCCTGGAAGAAGACCCCCCCCTCCACAAGTCCAGGGCGGGCAGCAGGCGGGTAAGAAAATTCAGACACTCCTATTTGCAACGGTCGGTCGCAGTGACTCCTGGGTCAGGGGCTCCGCTTGTGCGACCTTGTCACGAGCCGAGTCAAAGGGGGGGGGGGGAAGGTAGGTTCACTTATGAACCGGCCGTTCCTAAATTGAGAACTGATTCGCTTAATGAGAGTGGCGGGAGAAGCCAGAAGACGGGGCAAAGCTTCCTTAACGAAAGCTCTCCCTCAGTTAACAGAAATTCTGGGCACACACACACACACAGACACACACACAGACACAAAGCCAGCTGTGGGCCCGCCCGCCTGACTCTCCTGCAGTCGCCCCACATTAAACCACCTTGCAAATCACCGTCGTCCGTGGCCAGAGCTCTTCCGCATTAGAGACATCCCACAATCGAGACGAGACGGGCTGGATTTCAGCCAGTGGGACTCTCCTCCCGAGGGGCTGCCTGCCTGGTCCTGAAGTCCACCAGGGGCTTCCTGACCCCTCCTCAATCTGGCCTTCCAAAGGGAGCCCGCCCGGAAACCCTCAGCCCACCCGCCCGCTCTTCTTCTGCCTCGCCCGGGGCCTCCAGAGGCCAGCTGGGCATCCCTCTCAGGCTTTGGGGCTGCCCATCCCGGTCCTGACAGCCCCCTCCTTTGGTCTGAATGCCCGCCAGACTTTTGCCACCTTCGCTAAGCCACTGGTGGGGGGAGGGGAGAGCAGACAGGACTTGCTTTCCTTGGGCCAGGCTCCCGACACAACACCACGGAGCTGACCCATTCGGACGAACGTCTGGGTTACCCAGATGGCCCAGCGTTAACTCGTGCCCGGGTGCTGCCTGCTTTGAGGATCCGGACTGCAGGACTAACCGCGTTTTCTGCAGGGGTCTTATTACCATGTGGGGCTTATTCAGTGCAACAGTTTTGTGTGTGTGTATGTGGTACGGGCTTCCCTGTGGCACGCAAGGCCTCTAGCGTGTCTGGGTGGGTGGGGCAGGGCAGGCCCTCAGGCATATGTGTGTGTGTGTGTGCTGGGGAAGAAACCCCCCCCATCCGAGAGGGGCAGGGAAGGGGGCGGAGTCCGGGCCTACCTGCAGCTCTCCGGCCCCGGCTTGGGGTAGTTCTTGGGGGCGCCTTCCCAGACGGAGTTGGCCAGGCTGTTCCCGATGGCCGTCATCACCATCACCAGCTCCAGGGCCCAGTCGTCCAGGTCCAGGGAGCGGACGCGGGAGAGGTGCGTGCCCAGGTGCCGGTGGATGCCCGAGCACTCGATGCAGATCAGGGCGCCCAGGTTCAGGCTGGCCCAGTCCGGGTCTGGGGGCGGGAGGGAGGCAAGGGGTCAGCCCGGCTGCTGAATTCCCCCCTCCCCAAATCAGGTCTCTCCCCCCACCAGCCCCCCGTCGGCTCATCCCAGACAACCATTCCATGGCCGAGCGCAGCGGCCTCTTAGCCCCCCCCCCCATCCACTTGGTCCCGGAAGGCCTGGGGGCTCAAGAGGACACGGGAAAGACGGCCACCCCCCCACCCAGGGGAACCCCCCTGAGAAGGTCTGGGGGGGCTCCTGGGGGCTCCAGAGGACACGGGAAAGGCCCCCCCCTCACCGCCCAGCTACTCACTGGCTGCGTCGCAGTCCACGCAGAAGCTGTTGCCCCGGACAGTGCGGATGGACTGGAGGGCGACCGCGTCACTCTGGCTGCCCAGCCGCGACTAGAAGAGGACGGATTTCAGCCACGCTGGGGCAGGCAGCCGGAGAGCAGCCCACAGCTGCCGACGGGGGGGGAGGGGGGAGGAGGCAGCCGATGTCTGTGTGTGTGTGTGTGTGCTTCCCAGGGTCTCTGCCTTTCCCGAGATGCTTTCGACCCGGTGGACGAGCCCAAATGGAGCAGAGCCGCATCGGCCTGCCCCCCCTCAAGACCAAAGCCCCCCCTTTGCCCCCTCCCCCTCACTCACCTTGTGCTTGCTGCTCTCGCAGCCCTGCAGGCTGGCCAGGATCTGGCTCTCGATAGCCTGAACCCAGAGCTCCCTCTCGTCGGCCGTGGAGGCCTCGAAGAGCCACGACTGGCCCGTCAGGGAGACCACCACGAACTCAAAGCTCTCCTCTTGGTCTGCAAGGCCGGGGTTGAGGGAGGGAGGGGAGACTCAGTGTCCACACAGCGTCCCTCCCTCCCCGCTCTGCCTCCCCGCACCCCCCGGTGCCTCCAGGGCAAGAGAGGAATTGGGGAGGGGGAGCCCGGTCCATCTCCTCCGGTGGCCCCCACCTGTCCTTTGGGGGAGGGGCAGCAAAGGCCCCTCCCCCAAAATGGCTCCTCGGGAAAGGAGGGGACACCCAGGGGCCCGAATCGCCCAGGGCCCGCCCTCAAGCGCATGCCGAAGGCGGCCATTTTCAGAACGGGCGCCATCTTTTCCTGGGTTCCCACGTCGGCCAGACACCCGGATTTCCTAACGGCAAGGAAAGGAGGACCAGAGACCATCAGGCCCAGCCGAAGGGGCCAAGGAGGGCACTAGGCCTTCAGAAAGGGGCCCGTCGGAGAAGGCCGGGTCGCAGACGGGCCCAGGATCCTCCCGGAGACCCCCCCCCGAGAGAGAGCAGCCGCTGAGCCAGCCTGCAAGGGCAGGGCCCAAACGGGGACCACTGCGGCAGTCCAGCCGACTGGTGGCCGGGCTGTCCTATCCGGGGTGAGGGGCAGCCAATGGACCGAGGGCCATCGGGTGGGCTCGGCAGGCAGAAAAGAGCCGGGGATTTGGGAGAGGGTCTCCTTTCGGGGCAAGGGGCTGGACCCCTCCCCAGATTTCTCCCTCCCCCTCCCCTCCTGTCCGAGGGGGCTACAACAGGGATGACAATGCTGATCCCCCCCTCCCTGGGGTCTCTCCCGGCTGGGCTCAGAGCCCACCCCCTCAGCCCTGCTGTGTGGAAAAGTGGGGGGGGGCACAGGGACCCTCTCCCTCCCGCTTGCAGCTCAGCAGCCCACTCCTCTTGGTCCACTGTGGCCGCCCCCAGACCCTAGCCCAGCAAGGGGCTGCTTGTGACGGGCAGCGATTCTGGCCGGGCCTGCCTGGGCGGGGGAGGCTGAGGAAGGGGCCGGCTCTTCTATAAAGGGGGGGACCCCCCAGAAGCCCCCCCTCCCGCAGGCCGGCTGCCCCTTCCTCTCATGAAGCGATGCCCCTGGGGACCGACTCTCCCAGAGCCCCCTGGGACACCGCCAGGCATGTTGGGCAGAACGGGAGGGGCACTGGTGTCTCCCCACTGGGCAGGCTGGGGGGGGCGCAGAGGGCTGGAGTTGCCCCCCCTTTTCCCCTCTGTTGCTTGTGCCACCTCCCCCCCCCTCCCTGGCGCAAAACGGGCTGGAAGACATTCCCACCCTCTGCCCAGTTCAGCCCCACTTGCTTCCTGGGGGGAGCACCCCGCCTGCCTTCGTCCGGGCCCCTGCCCTGCCCCATTGTGACTCGGTTTGGAGGGAGGGAGGGTGGAAAGAGGGACGGGAGCCTCCCTGCGCAGCCCTCCCCTTCCCCCTCCCGCTGCATTCGGGGGGGCCCTGGGGCGAGCCCCTCCCCGCAACTCATTAGCTCAGTGACTGACCAACTGAGAAATTAGAGGAACATTTGCGTAATGGGATGGGAGCCGGGGAGGGTGGGAGGGAGGGAGGGGGGGCTGTGAGGCTGAGGACTTGGCACCTCGCGCAGCCCGGTGGTGGGCAGCAGCAGCAGCAGGAAGAGCGAGGGCCTGAGGGCTGGGGCCGAGCCACTGTCGCAGCCTGATGGCTTTTTGGATGGTGCTTCACAGATGCTGGAGTGGCAGAGAGAGCGAACGCCCGGCCGCCCGTTAATGGTTCTTAACCCCCGAGACCTCGTCTTCTGGCAGCTGACACGGCAAGCAGCCCTCCAAACGAGGGGGAAATTAGTGGGGGCACGAGAGACCTGCCAACCGGCTGCTGCCACCCGAGGCTGCCCAGGTCAGGATGCTTTTCCGGAGGCTCGTGGAGCCCCGGGTTGCCTGCCCACCCCAGGTGCGGGATGTGCGTGTGCCCCCCCCTTCCCTGCCTGTCCTGCTTCTGCAGCCACGGGATGGGGGTGGGAGGGCTGTCCTCCCCCTCCTGCAGCCTTGCACAAAGGCTTGCTGGGGCATTCTGCATGCCAACGGGTACTGGGGGGTCTGCCTGTGGCGGGGGGCCATTCGTAAATGTCACTCGGCTGCCGCCTCATTTTGCAGCTCATTAAACCCAATATTCGCAACCTGTATTAGTACGGCGGGACCCCTCCCCTCCTCCCTTTCCCCCACCAGGCGAGGCGCAGCACTGGGGGGGGAGAGACACAACAGCCTGGGGAGGGGCGGGCGAGGCTGGGGAGAACAGCAAGAAACCCCCACCCTGCTCCGGAGGGGAAGGAGGACTGGGCGCTCACGGTGGCACCCGGTGAGTGGCCAGCCCTGAAAGAGAGGGTGTCAAGTGGGGCTACCCGTCCTGGCTGGCTGGCAGAGGTCGGAGTGGGGCAGCAGTGCTCCCGGGGTGGACGAGGGCTGCCAGCCGGTCGTCCTGGCCCAGGCAGGGGGGCAACGCTCTCTGCCCTCTTCCCCTTCTCTCAGACTCTCCGAGGGTCTGGCAGAGGGAGATGCCAGCGCCCCTGTCCACACATAGGCGGGCCAGGGCTGCGAGCTGCGTGTAAAGAGCAGCAGCCTGTGTGTGTGTGTGATTTATGACCCTTCAAAGCATCCAAGGCTCTCCTGGCGCTTCCCCTCCTTGTCTGAACAGCTGCCCAAGGAAGCAAATTGGTAGCCCGTCCCCTCGCCCGCCCTCCTCCCGGGGTGCCAACCTGTGGCTGGCATGCCAGCAACAGGGCACCCACCCTTTCCCACCGTCGTCCCGCTGCCGGCGCCAAGGACCCGGGCAAGGCTAAGGCAGCGGCACGAGGGTCTTCTGTGCTGGGACTCGTGGCCCCAGATGGCACAGCCTCGGGCGGGGAGAGGGAGGCGGCGTCACCGCTGGGCCAGCTTTCCTGCAACGCCCGCGGCGTGGACGTGTCTCGCCGGGTCAACGGGCGTCCGATCGAGCGGTGGGAACCCAGGAAAACGATGCGCTCCGTCTGGCCAAATTGGGTCCTTCCCGACAGCCGGACAGCGGTGGGTGCGGTGCCAGGAGAGACGTTCTCTCGGTGTGAACACCCCCCCCCAGCTGCCCCCAAAGCCCCGAGCAGAGCCCGCCTGCCACGCGCCCCTGCCTCCCTTTCCGAAAGGGAAGGGCGTTTGTGTTGGCTCTCTGCACCAGCACAGGAGACTCGGAAGGCCCAGGAGCTCTTCGGTGGCCCCGCCCCGTGCCCGGCTCCTCCCCCACCAAGAGAAGAAGCCCCCGAGCTCTCACCTTCCGCCACGCTGCCCGCCCCGTCGGGCCGTCCCGTGCCCGTGCTCTTTTTCCGACGGTGCTTCTTCCGGTTGGCATGAGGGGACGGGGGCGGCTCCAGCTTGGGGCTGGCCGTGCTGGAGACGTTGGGGCTGGAGCTGAGCGAGTCGCTGGCACCATTGGCTGGGGGGGGGAGAGAACAAGCAGAGGGGGGGGGTAAAGAGTCAGGACCCCCCCTCTCCCAGGCAGACCCCTGCCAGGGCGCGGGAGAGACACGTCGCGGAGCTGCTGCGCGCCAAATTTATCCTCAATCATACTGTTCCTTACAATTAATAGCAGAATTAGAAACAATCAGGGAGATGGCTAATTACTGTCAATTAGAGTGCACTAATCAAGCTCGGTCACACACACACACCGCGTGCGCGCACACACACACACACACGCTCCGCTCACGGCTCTCGCCATTAAATGTCAAATTTCATTAGAGACCAGCAACAAAATCACGAGGGCTGGCGTTCGCTGCCAAGTGCGGAGATCCAAGTGGCTCCAATCAAGCGCCGGGCGGAAGCCATGCTGCCAGGGCCTCTGCCCCCCCCTCATGTCCCTCTGCCACCCCCCCCCCAGGGCTGAAGGGGCGAGGAGGGAGAGGGGGGGCAGCACCGTCCTTCCACCAGCAGCGCTGCCTCTGCCCAGACAAAGTCCATATGCCGAAAGGTGGGGGCGTCAGCTCTTCCCCCTTGGCAATGTTGGGTGAGGGTCAGCCCCCGCAGAGGCCTCAGACAGCCCCCCCTCAAAGTACCCACAAGGAGGAGGGGTGCAGAGCCCAGGGAGAGCATCGTGGGAGACCAATCCCTGCCCCCAAAGACCTGGCAAGGTAAACCCTGGCGTGGCAGGCCCGGGGCACCCAGCACCCTCCTCCCATTGGGGGTGACAGGGAGAGCAGCCCCCCCCTCCCCAAATGCTCCACCAACTCTTTGGGAGGACAGGGCTGGGGGTAAGTGGATCGGGCCCCTGAAGGGGAGATTGAGACCCCGGGCAGAGGGGTGGGGGTCTCTGTCTCTGCTTTGGAAGGAGGCCCCAAGTTCAGCAGCCCCCCCAGCGAAGGCAGGCAGACAGGCTGGCCGCCCTCGCTGGACGACGGTTGCTTGTCAACGGGCCCGCAGCACTCTCCGGCCACTGCCCAGCCCCTCCCTCCCTCCCTCCCTCCCTCTGCCCGTGACCGGTTCCGTGCAGAGTGTTTCCTGCGGACCGGACGGTACGTGGTTCGGTGTGCTGCCGGCACCCCACGGACACGGCTTCGCTCGTCTCTGCCGACCAGTTGCCGGCGTGCCGGGACTGGTACCGGTCCAGGGACCAGGAGTTGGGGACCCCTGCCCTAGACCAGAGGCCCCCAACCTTTTTGGGCACCAGGGACCGGTTCCGTGGAGAGGGCTTTTCCCACAGATCGGACGGTACGTTGTGCCTGCACCCTACGGACGCGGCTTCGCTCGTTGTCCACGGACCGGTTACTGGCATGCCGGGATCGGTACCGGTCCACGGACCAGGGGTTGGGGACCCCTACCCTAGACCAGAGGACCCCAACCTTTTGGGGCCCCGGGGATGACCGGTTCCGCGGAGAGCGCTTCTCCCACGACCAGACGGGACGTGGTTTCGTGTGCTGCCTGCTTCAGTTTTTTAGGCGGCCCGGGACCTGTCCGTGGACCGAGGGTTGGGCTGCTGCAGGGCAGGGCCGGCTCCTCCCCACACGGCCGGGCCGGGCCTTCTGCCCCGGCTGGCTGGCTGCCGCCGCCACGACTACCCTCGCCGCCCGCTCCCTCGCCCGCTCGCTCTGCCCCATCAGCAGTAACAGTCTGATTAATTCGCTTCCAGCAGGGAGCTGATGGGCCAATGATGGAGGCGCTGTGCCAGGCGCGCTGAAATTGATAGTTTTTCACAGTTACAAATGAGGAGCCACCCCAGCTCCAAATGGCGGCGGCGCAGTCGGACTCCGGTAATGATCATAAAGAGGCTCTCTTTAAACTGCGAAAGCCCCTGGGAGGGGGGGGGGAGGAGGGGGGCGGCTGCCGCGCTAATGAGAACGACAAGGGGGGCGAGCAGGCGTCGCGCGGAGGCGGCCTCCCTCTTGATGTGCGTTTAACGGCTTTTTTAACTGCGGCGGCCGAGCCGGGAAGCACCGAGTGATGGATGCCGCACAGAAGCATTTATTTTCCAATTCGGCAAAGTGGCTACGTTGGGAAATGTATGAATTATTTTAATTCACTCAACTGTCCTGAAACACCCGGGCTGCGGGGAGGGAGGGCGGGCGGGAAGGGAGGCGGGCGAGGCGAGAGGCAGCGTCGGGGCTTCTGCCTGCTCAGCTCAGCCGGCTCCAGGCCCGGCCCAGTGCCATGCAACCGGAGGAAAGGCTGGCCCCACTGCCCTAGGGTCGGGAGAGGACACAGCCGGTCCGCTGCCTGGCGGTCCAGTGCCAGCCCGGTTTCTCCCTCCAGGGACGTAGAGAAGATCCTCCCCTTGCAGGCGCCATGCAGCCACCCCTGCCTGGGCAGCACCAGGGGAAGCAGGCAGCCAGGTCCTTCTTCCTACCCGTGACAGCCAGCAGGGGGGCATCCTTGCCCCCCCTCCCACCTTGGAGGGCCCAGAGCCGCACAAAGGGGGGGCACCCCAAGCTGAGGGTTTTCCCCGACGGTTTTAGCCGAGGATGGGCAACAACGTCCACCCTCCAGGCCTCGGCGTGCGCCACTCACCTGCGCTGGGGGCGCCGCTGGGCATGACGACCGCCTCGCTCCACTGGTCCGCGCTGGAGACCGAGTAGGACCGCTGGTGAATGCCGCTGCCTTCCGGCTTCAGGCTGAACCCCCCTAGGTTGGTGCCGCTGCCCGACCGCTCCGAGTGCAGAGAGGTACTGCTGGCCGAGTGGGGGGCACCTGCGAGGAAGCAGTTGAGAGACAGAGAGAGAGAGAGATGGGCTAGTGGCAGGGCTGCTACCCTTGCAGCCGCCCCTGGGAGACCGCGGGCGGCCTCGAAAGAGGCGAAAAACCCCACCAGACTGGGGTCCTGATCAGGCCAGGCGGGGGTTCAACCAGGGCTATCCCGTCCGTGCTTCCCGCCTTGTGCCAGGACATCCACCGCCCGACCAGGGAGGCCACGGGGTGAGAGGAACGAACTTGGGCCGAACTGGTGCCACAGGGCAGCTGTGCCAGGAGCCCCCCCAACCAAGAGCTCACACTGGAAAGGGCTGGAGGGGGTGCAGAAGGCCTGGGCATCAGCGACAGGCGTTCCCCACACAGACAGAGGTTGCCACCACAGAAAAAGTATCCGGGCATCCTGGGGTGGCAGCCCCTGGTTTCTTGGCACCCAAACGAAGCCCTGAAGCGCCAGCAGACGGCTGCCCCACATGGGCCCTGCTTTGTATGCTCCCTCCCACCCACACAGGGCCCCGAACTGCAACTGTCTCCCCCTCCCCATCCTTGCCTATTGGGGCAAGGCCTCCCGATGGGGTCTGCCCTGGGACCCCAGCCTTCTCTCTCGGCACGGGGTCGGCCCACGGGGCTCCGGGGAGGGCAGGGGGCTGCCTCCCCCAGCCACACCTACCCAGACCTGCCAGAGAGACCCACCAGGACCGGGTCTGCCTTGCCAGCAAGGCAGGGGGGAGAGGGGTGGGTAGCGGAAACGCCAGCCCCCCGCTCGGCCACGGCCGTACTCTCAGTTCGCCCGGTTGCCAGGGCTGCACAGACGTGCTCCGCTGAGGCATCTCCTCCCCCCCCCCCCGTCCAGGTTCAGCGCCTCAAAAGCATGTGTAAAACCACGACACCGACTCTGCCTCTAATTAGCCCTTAATTTACAAGACAGGCTCAGAAGGATAATTAGCTCGGCTCCCGACGACGACGCAGCCATCTCTTCCGCTGCTGCCGTCCCTGCCGGCAGTGTCCGGCCCCAGGCGGGAGGGCAAGAAAGCGGCCAGCCGGCCCGGCCCCCTCGGTCAAGCTTCTCTCCACCCCATCTCCTGAACGGTCCCTGCCCCGGAACCCGCTCCTGGTCCCGGTTTTGGTGCTGGGAAGCGTCTCCCCAAAGCTCCTCTTCGGCTGGGGGGGGTCCGTCCGGGATCCAAAGGAACCCAATATGGGCCAGACCGCGTGGAGGGCAGGGGAAGGGGTGCCTCCCTAAACTTGGGGGGGGGGTTTGATGAAAAAGGAGGGGAGGGCCCAGCAGGTCGTGTTGGGGAGCAGGTGGGGTGGGGATGCCGAGGGACCCCTAAACCGGAGGCCCCGCGACACCGTGCAGCACACCAGGAAAAGGCTGGCCGGAGCAGAGACGCTGGCAGAAGACGTCCCTTCGGAGGGGGGGGAGAGCCCCCCCTGTAGCTTTGGCCCTTCTAAGGGGGTGGCGGAAACAGCTCCATTGCTTGGGCCCTGGGGGCACCACCTGAAGAGGGGCTGGGTCTCCTGGGGCCCCCCTAGAGACCATCAAAAGGGGCTGCCTTTCCCGGCTCCCCACCTAAGGAGAGCAGAAGCCCCCGAGCTGTGGGGAGACTAGCACCATTTGCAGGCCTGGGGCCGAGCGGCTGAGTGGGGCAGCCCGCTGAGGGGAGGGTGCCAGCAAGCCACGACCCAACCCCACTTCCCCAATCTCTCCATGGCCCCACCACCTTCTTCAGCTGCAGCGGGGAGACGAGAAGCTGGACCCCCCCCAAACCAAACGACAGCTGCAGCCTCCAAGCTTGCGGGCATTTACAGTGTGTGTGTGTGTGTGTGTGTGTGTGTGTG